CGTTGGCCTCAGACGTAATGGCACCAAGGCCGTCAATTGTGTGCAATTTAAAAGAATGACACGTTCATTACGAGTGTTTGCACCTGCAGAATATCCTTCTTTTGGGCTGAAACAATTTGAGCTATATATTTGTATTCACTTTGTTTTTATTTATTTGTTCAATACATTTTTGTCTGCGGGGTTTGAAGTCCAGTGGTCTTTGTGAAGGTTATTGCTATTACGGGTAAAATCTCAGCTCCTGTGGTTAGCCTGCTGCCTGGCTAAGTATCTTGCTTAAGATTATCTTATGTACCTATTGAGTGTTAAGCCTACCTGTATATGGCTCCATTATATGTGAGTGACCCAATTGGGAGTTACACTATGTTTTATTTTTACTACAATGTTATTTTATTTTTTTTATATATAATTCTTTATTTTGGGTGTGCACAGAGTTAACAAATAGCCTTGGTGAGCCACAACAGCGACACCTGGTAAGGTTGGTGAACATTGATATTACATGCCATGGCAATCGTTATACAGGCACATTTTATGGTAATATGCTCTCTATTACAGTAGTTCAGATCCGCTTTTGGTTCAGATAAATTAGCAAAAAGCATGTATCATGGAAGAATAGGTAGAGGAGAGACAAAGGAGGAAAACATGGCTTGTGCATAGATTATAGGAACAAGGTTAGACTATTAGACCATTCAGCTCTTGCTAGGCTGGTTACATCTCTCTTGTCTGCGTGTGATTAAATGGTTACATGTTATTCTAGCTTTAAGCTAAGGTGTGGGTGGCTTGGAGACTGAAGCATAAGAAAAACAACATAAAAGCAGTGGTAACAACAAAGATTGTGTTTCAAAGCTTAAAATAACCACCCCATGTTGGCCCCATGTCAGCCAGGCGAGAGTCCATGTCGGCATGCTAGGCGACCAGTCTGTATGCAGTGTAGGTTACTTTAATCAGGCAATATGCTTGGTGACTGCAGCAATACTCAGAGTCCCGTAGGGTGTCAGTGTAGTGGTGCGAAGTTCCCTTCTTGGGTCAGTTGCCGTCCAGCCTGGTGCCTGTTGTGGGCAGGCGGAGAGTCCCTGTATGGTGGCTATAGATGGACAGCCCTTCTGTTTTGGCCGCCTTGCGGAAAGCTGAGTGGTGCAGCAGGCAAGTCCAAGGCCCTATAGTGGCTATTGTTCCTCCTCTGGGTCAGTATCCACTGGTGCTTCGGATTTTGGTTCTGCTCCTCCTTGGCTTGTGGGGACTTAGCTCTTATCTGACGGTTCTCTTTCTTTCGTGGTCGGCAATTTGCCTGTGTGGTATCAGGAGAGGAGGGTGCGTCCGGCAGCTCTCGCATCTGAGTTGCCATGCGGTCTCTGCCATTATGGGAGCGGGCTCATAGGATGGGGACCGGGATCACCCCGCCAGCCCAGCGAGGGGGGGGGAACAGGGCCAGACCCACCTAGCTTTGCGTTTCTGCCTTACCGCTGGTGGGCAGGATAGCTGGGCAACGGCCGTCCACCCCGCTCACCGCCCAAGCGGTCTCCATCGCGTACGACTAGGATCGCCTCCCCGAGGGACTAGAACCTCATGGCAAGCCTCTCCTCGGGACCAGGGTTGCATCTTGCACTGGGTTACAGTTATTAGTCGGTTAGTGAATGTTATGCCGGTTTTTAGGGCCAAAAACTGGAGGAGTTTTCAGGAGCTACTTCACTGTGCATCCGCTCAGCATGGCAGTCCGGCCCCAACCCCATACAATGTGATGTTTTTATGTATATTTTTATAGAGTTGCCACAGCTACATGTACTGAGAGGTATCTCCCAGTTGCTTTTGTACTTGTTTATTGGGGTAGGAAGTTACATTACTCTGGGTGGATTTAGCTGCACCGTATTACTACTGGGCATCTATTTCTCTATATATGTTTCACTATTGAATACTACCATCTGCTTTGCCCCCAGGTGCAGATTCTCCCAGCTGACAGCTAAAAGTCTACCCAATCTGTGGGGTTATTTGGGGGACCTAGGTCTTGTTCCTAAGCAGTTATATAATGGCAAGCCTCTCCTCAGAGTTGAGTTTGGTGGTTGGCTTGCACTGGGTGGTAAATGTCTATTAGTCGGTTAGTCATGTTATGCATTCGGTTTTTCGGGCCAAATGACTGGAGGTCACTGTTTCCGCTCTGTGATGAAGCTGCTGCGCTCAGCATGGCCAGAAGTAGTCAAAGTATGAGGGATGTTTCAGGTGTGTCATTTTGATAGAATTCACAGCTACAGTTGAGTCAGTATCTAGGTGACCTGCAATTGCATGGGGTGTCCTTATGTCTGAAGTGCTTGTGGGTTGAGGCCAGGACCGGGAACTGGGCATCTATTCCGCAGGATAGTTCACTATTAATGGAGGTCGGCGCTGTGGTCCCAGTTTCTCCTTCAGTTTCTCCCAGACAGGTCGACAGAGTGGGTGTTTTTGGGGGACCTAGGTCTTGTTCCTAAGCAGTTATATAAGGTAAAGAGAGTTGAGTTTGGTGGGTGGCTAGGGAAAGGTAAATGTCTGTAATTTCAGAGGCATTCTCTTTCAAACTCAGTGAGTGTGAAGGTCACTGTGAGTTGGACCGTCTGTGATGAAGCAACGCTGCAAAATTGTATGTATCCGAAGTAGTCAAAAGTAGTGAGGGTGGTCGAGTCAGGTATGTCTGAGAATTCAAGGAGTTTTCCATTCAGGTATAGGTGACCCAAGCATGTTATGTCTCTGTCCTCAACATGTCTGAAGTGCTTGGGGTTGAGGCCAGGCGGGAACATCCTATTCCGCAGGATAGAGGTAATGGAGGTCCGGCGCTGTGGTCGTGTTTCTCCTTCAGTTTGTCCCAGAGGTCGACAGAGTGTGATATTGTGGGAGGGGATTGGGGAGCAATGTGGCAATGTTGCTTCGGAAGCCAGATGTAAAGGGATGGGTGATCAAAGCCAAAAATCAGGAGCTCCAAGTCAACCTATCTCTTTTTTTCTAGGGAGAAGGTGCCAGTTTTGAATTTGGTTCAGGTGGGCTGCATAGAGGAAATGGAAAAGGTTGAGAAGGCCTAAGTCTCCCAATTTGTACGGGACATATAGGGTGGCTCTTCATATACACGGTTTGCGGCTGTTCCAGATTAATTTATCTATAGCGGTTTGAAGTATGCGTATGTTGATCTTTTTTGCAAGGAGCAGTTAGGGCCTGAAAGACATACAGTAAGCGTAGCAGTAAATTCATTTTGATAGAGGCTATGCGGCCTAGCCAAAGGAGCCCTAGCGAAGGAGGTCATGTGTGCTGTACTTAGTACTGGGGCTTAATTAGCATCGGAGAGAGCGAGGAGCTAGTCAAGGTAAGTCGAATTTCTAGATATGGGATAGCTGTGGTGCAAGTGCAAAAAGGGAATCTGCTTTTTATTGTGTGGAGGGTGGCATTGCCTATATTGAGGTTGTAGCAGAACTCCAATATTAAGCATTAATATCGCCGCTATATAATCCTTGTAGCTGAGGAAACAATAAAATATCCAAGACACAATCCCCCCCCCCAGTAACTGGATGACACACAGTTCTGGGAGTCAACTGACCTTTATTCAGCCACAGCTGGCTTTTATGCAACTCCCCATGCAAAGGGTTTCTTAAATCATGTTCCAGCAGTTTACCCCTGGTGGACCTTGTTGGGGACAAGGGACAATTCCACATTTCACAGATTCCTCCTCTGTGCCTGGGAAATAATTGAGTAGGGACAACTCTATAATTAAATTATATCCCAGGTACAAAAAATATACAATATCTATAAATGGTATCAAATACATTTTAATAGTTCAGAACCCCACTAAAGTTACTTCACCGAATAGCTGGGATCTGAGCGCCCACTTTGTCAAAATATCACTCATATCCACAGTGGTGTATTTTGGATCTGTGCTGCCCTAGGCATGACAGAACTCAGGCACCCCCTAATTTACATTTGCCCCACCCCTTCCTGTCAATGCCACACCTCTTCCTGTTAAAGACTAACACACACACTTTGACTGACAGACACACACTCTCAAATACACTGACATACACACACACACACTGATTTCACACAATTTGATAGACACACACAATCACTGACTTACTCACAGACACACACTGACAGGCACACACAATCACTGACATACACACACATTCACTCACTGACAAACACACACACACACACTCACAGACACACACACTGACAGGCATACACAATCACTTAGACACACACACATTCACTGACAGAAACACTCACAGACACATACTGACAGACACACACAATCACTCAGACACACAGGCTCCCTCACAGACACATACACTCACAGACACACTTACAGACAGACACACACACACACACAGACACACACAATCACTCAGACACACAGGCTCCCTCACAGACACACACAATCACTCAGACACACACTGACATACACTCACTCACAGACACACACTGACAGCCAGACACACACACACACTGACAGCCAGTCAGACACACACACACATTTTTTACCTGGGGTCCAGTGGGGCTGCGTGGGCAGGGAGGGAGGCAGATGTGCAGGCAGTTGAGCGGATAGCTGAATTCCTAGCTGAATATTCCAGCTCCCGGCATCACTCTGCAGCAGGCAGAGAGAGCTCACAAATAAGCGCTCCCTCGCCGCCTGCCTTGGAACTTAGCTAGCCGTCTGCCATCAGGCTAATAAGGTATTTGCCTAGGCATTTGGGGGTGGCATTTTTTGCCGCCCCCTGGAAAGTGCCACCTAAGGCAAATGCCTTGTTTGCCTCTCAGCAAATACGTCACTGTATATGCGTTTAGTGGTTTTGAAATGCCATTCGAGTGACGTTTGGGCTGGTCGGCCATGAGGTGAAGCCACAAAACAGTTCCAGAGACCGGTCTTCTTTCAGGAGTTCTCTCACGAACGCCGACAACAGCTCACCCTGGCTGCAAGCATACACATGTTCCCCCGTTTGGTAGTTTAGATCTCCCGGACGCTGTTCTCCTACTGGTTCGGGAAGTTGAATGGGCAGCGGTATCGGTTTGCCGGGTGTTCGTGGAGTAGAGTAGCCAAAATTAGTTCCAGGTCGTCAACGACCATGTACCGCTGCCCATGTTCGAGCTGGCCACTGTTTGTTTGCACACATGCGTTCGGTAATACGAACAGCGGCCACACAGGAGAAACACTTTCTTTAACAAGCAATTTGTGCTTAGCAGCCAGGGCTGGTCTGTGATTAAATGATGATGAGACCACACAGATGGAGTTCGGTAAGCGAATGTGAGGGTACGGACAGCCGAACAAAGGGAATTAAAAAGGGTATAACAATGTTAACTCTGCTACAGAGGGGCATGATTTCTGTTTTGGAGAGGTTAAGTTGGTAGCCAAACAGTTCAGAATAATCATGAATCAGGTCTCAGAGGGCCTGCACAGATGGAATGGGGTTTGTCAGTGTGAGAAGGACATCATCCGCATAGGCAGAAATCTTAAAGGATTTTCCTCTCACCGAGATCTTAGTTATGTGTGGATTATCTTGAATTGCCTATAAAAGGGGTCCCAGTGATATGGTAATTAAGAGGGGTAGAGTAAGCAACCCTGGTGGGTTCCATTTTGGATTGGGAAGGCTGGGGGGTATGTTGGGAATAAGTAGTGGTCCATGTGGAGTGTAGTATGAACTTGGAGAAAGTGCTTTTCTAATGGGAGTCCAGACAATCTAGGGCTCTGTGTAAGAAGGGCCAAAGAATGCATTAAAAATGCTTTCCCAGCGTCTAGAAGGACCACAGTCATGGGAATAAGTTTACGGTTGGCGTGCCATATTAGGTCATTGTTATGGCGTGAGTCCTGTCGGTTGAGAATAAAGCCTACTTGGTTGGGGTGTATGAGCCACTATAGATATAGGTTTATTTAGTCAACATTATTTTAGATAATAATTTAAAGTCTGTCGAAAGTACAAAAAGGTTTAGGCACTCAATAAGGTTCAGAAACGGCAATTTATTGAAGGCCAATGTCACAACGTTTCGACCTATATACAGTCTTTATCAAGTAGGTCACATTGGGCTTTAATCAGGGCCCGACTGTGAAGAAAATTCGCCCGGGCATTTTTCAATTACAGCGGCCCACTGAAAAGGGGGCAGGGCCAGATAGAGTGTGCTTTGTTATGACCAGTGACAAGCACACCCCATCACAAAGTGAGCCTGTTGGTTCAATGCTCTTCCCTGGGCAGACCAGCTCTGCTGAAGAGCTCTAGCGTGAGAAAAGGCCCTGTATTTGTTCTGCACAGCACAAGCAAATTTAATAACATGCTTGCACTGTGCTTGCTTGAAATTTGTCTCTGGTGTCTCCATAGATGAGATACCAGGAGACAAAAATGCCAAGAAAGAGTATTGTGCAGAATGTAAGGGTGCTGTGTGTGTGTGTGAGGGTGATGTGTGCATGAGGGGTGTAGTGTGTGTGCAAGAGGGGTGCAGTGTGTGTGTGAGGATGCTGTGTGGGTAAGTGTGCTGTGTGTGTGAGGGGTGCTGTGTGTGAGTGATGGGTGCAGTGTGTTTGTGAGGGTGATGTGTTTGAGTAAAGGTGCTATGTGAGTGTGAGAAAGCTTTGTGTGAGGGTGCAGTGTGTGTGAGGGTGCTGTGAGTGTCAGGGGTGCAGTGTGTGTGTGTGTGTGAGTGAGTAAGGGTAAAGGTACTATGTGAGTGTGAGGAAGTTGTGTGTGAGGGTGCAGTGTGTGTGTGTGGGGGGCTATTGTGAGTGTAAGGGGTGCAGTATGTGTGTGTGTGTGAGGGGTGTAGTGTGTGTGCAAGAGAGGTGCAGTGTGTGGGTAAGGGTGCAGTGTGTGCAGTGTGTGTGAGGGTGCTGTTTGAGTGAGGGAGCTATGTGCGTGTGAGGGTGCTGTGAGTGCCAGGGGTGCAGTGTTTGTGTGTGTGTCTGTGTTTGTGTGTGTGTGAGGGTGAGAAGATGTGAGTGCCAGTTGTGCAGTGATGATTTTAAATTAATTTTATAGTTTAAAAAGTGGCTAAAATCATTGATACAAGCTTAGATTTCAGAAATTGAGATCTCAGGGCGGGAAATAGTTAAAATTATATCATCCGCATATAATGTTATTTTATGTTCCTGGTTACCTAGGAAGATTCCTGATATTTTAGTTGATTGTTTAATATAAGCTGTTAATGGTTCGATTGATAGAATATACAGTAGGCGTGCAAGTGGGCAACCCTGCCGCGTACCATTTTTTTTATATCAAACCAATTCGAATTTAGCCCGTTTCCATAGATTTTTGCCTTGGGATAAAAAAAAAAGAGACATTGACAGATCTTTAAAAGTCTCTTCTATTCTGAAAGCTGAGAGTGTTTCAGCTAGGTAAATCCAGTTAACTCTGCCAAATCGACTGCAATGAGGTCAGAAGGGAGTTGCTCTTTATTTATCTTCAATGTTATATTTAAAATTTTGCGTACATTGTCGCCACCCGATCTTGTTTGACAAATCTGGATTGATCATTATGAATAACCTGACCAAGTCTATCTGCTAAAAATGTTGAAAAAATTTTTATATCCAGATTTATCCAGAGATCGGGCGGTAATTGCTTATAAAGCTAGGATCCTTTCCAGGCTTAGGAATAGGGGAGATTGTAGCACCCAACAAGTCTTGCGACAATTTATTAGCTTGGGTTACTTCCCTGAAATATTTGCATAATAATAAGGTAATAGTAGATTCAAAAGATTTATAAAAAGTGGCAGTAAATCTGTCAAGGAAGGATGAGTTTTGCAAAAAATGATTTGAGTTCTATTTGCGTAAATTTTGCAGTTGGAAGATTATATAAAGAGGTGTAGTAGTTTGCGAAAGCATTGCTTATTTGGTGAGGAGAAAGATGAGTTTTATCTCGTTCAATTTTTTTTTATGCTCTCTTTTTTTCTGGTTTAAGTCTATTTGAAAGGGTTCTACCCTCTTTGTTATTACTGCTATACCAATTTTGATTGAATTTCATAATCATCTTTTTAACAATTTGATTAATCTGTGAATGAACTGTACTGATTTGATTGAGCATTAAATATGAAGGGTTCTTTATATATATTCTTTATATAAATATTAACTGCAATTTTTATATTTTAGTATGTTGAAAATACTAAATCATTTGGAAAGCTTATCCAACAAAATTAAATCAAAATATGTGTGTAATAGCTGAGTGTTGATTGTTAACTTTTTCTGTTTTCGTGTGCCATTGAAAATTTTGATTTACATGTATAGTTTCTTGTTTTGTTTTCACTTAATTTTGACATAAAACACATGGGCCTTGAATTAAAAAGATTTCCAGATGATTCAATACTGTTAGAAAAACTTTCAAAAATGATTTATTTACAGCAGTCACTATTAGTCTCTATGGTAATTTTCTTCTAGATAAATTATTCGTAAATGTCCCCACCTGCCATTGTTGCCCAGCCTCTAGAAAGACACCATGCCATGGGGATGGGGCCTGGAAAATTACAAGGATAACATAGTCTACCCCCCCACACCCATAGTGCCACTTTAGAAAGAAAAAGGGAGGGACATCCTTAGGTCCTCCCCAGCAGGCCAGAAAGGACTGAAAATCATGTCACTCCATTCCTGTGCTTCCTACCAGCCCTAGAAGCGCCGACAAGGAAATTTCCATAGCAAATGTACTACATGCGCTACGGTTGCTATGGGAGGAGAGCAGAGGGATGTCCATCGTTAAATAGGTTTTCCTCCTAATCTATACATTTGCTAGCAAAACTGCTAGCACAATGTATAGATAAAATTGTGTGCTGGATCTAATGAGCATAGCTTGGGACATGACAGGTGCCCTTTAACGGCACAGGTGACTTATGTAACGTGCATCCATAATTATATAAGTATACTCAAGTCTCCTCTTAAAGCAATGTCTGTATCATTTATCATAAATATAAAGGACACATAAAATAGTTTTAGGAGCAGTTATGATCTTACCATCTATGATTTGGGGTTGAGGATGAATTTCTCTTCCGTAACACACCCTCTACAGTTCTGCTTTTTACCCACCACACTCTAATGCAACTGGTCCTGTGTTTCTATATTTACACTGTAAGTATTTTACTTGTTTTTTCAATTCTACTAGGAGAATAGATTTATTTTTCAGCTTAAATTAAAAAACAAACAAAAAAAAACCAACAGAAGTGAAAGAATCCTGACATTAAAACTGTTTTTTAGATCAAACACTAATTTTAAAACATGAGAATCTGCTTTTCGTGTTACGAGTTCCGTTCTGTGTACACCTCTGGACTTATTCATAGACATTGTAGATAATGTCAAAGTCTTCAAGTGTGAGATGAAATTGACAAATCCTTATCTGGGTTCTTATGCTTTTAATTTTATGTTTGATCTCCAATAAACAGGCTTCCTTCATTCACTCCCACCTACCCAGTTGAGTGCCACAATTTTTCTTGCATTTTCTTTTCTTCATACATATATAACTGCTTGTTGTGGTGTCATATCTGCCTGTTGCTCTAGAATTCCATGGTGGTAAGGGACTATACGCCCAATACTACACGCAAACCTTGTATACGCCCATTGCAATTTGTAGGAGCAACCTCACGTCGGTTTCCTACTAAAATAACATACTAGTGGGAGGGTCGGGCAGTTTTCCCCAGTTGACAGAAAATAAGAATTACAGAGAGCACGTACACCCCCCACACACCAGAGCAGGCACCTGCCTAAATGTGCTGCAGACCTGGCAGCAATGGAGAAGCTGGGATAGCTTTATACAATGGCTGCACAGTTCCATTAACCATTCTCAACTGAGCATGTAGCATCAATACCTAACTGCAGGGTGTACTGACAACTGTGGAGTTAGTACATAATATTAATCCCAGCAACTACCCACTGGAAGCCAGGCATAAGGCTACACTCCATCACCAATACAGGCAGTGATAGGAAAAGGGATGCTGGGTGGAACTCATAATAATAAATATATAATATCAAGTGTGAGTGTATATGCATATATTCCTAACAAACAAACAAAAATGTAATTATATTTGGAGGTGATGCCCTCGTAATCGGTGCGAGTGCAATATAAGACCGATATTGAGGCACTGTGGTTGTGCAGTTTCAATAAATGACAACTGTCTAATCTTTTTATATTATACATCTCTCTGAGAACAGAGTTAATGGTAGAGTAAAACATTTTTTTCCAAAATACAGGGTACCAAGACCAATTAGTTCAGCCAAATTATATATTTTAATGGCTCCTCCCAAATATATTAACGTGACGGGACACTCTAGACCAGTGGTTCCCAACCTTTTCTCACTTGAGTACCACTTGGCAGCCCATTTTCATAAATTGTATCCCTTCCATTAGCAAAATATTTGTAATTAATATAGTTGCATTTATTTCAAATTTATACATTTTTCTCTGTTCCATGTCCCCCTTTTCCTCTGCCCTAGGCTTTCCCTGCTTCTCCTCCGCCCCAGGCTCTACTAACTTCTTCTCTGACCAGGGATTTCCCTGTTTTTTTCTCTGCCCTAGGCTCCCCGTGCTACTCCACTGCCCCAGACACACAAACTGTCACACATGCAGATACACACTGACACATATGCAGATAACAGACACATAGATACGGACACACATTCAGATACAGACATTGTATGTGTGTCAAGGTATGTTTTTTTTATGTGTCAGTGTATATGTGTGTCAGTGCGGGTATCTGTGTCTGTATGTGTGTCAGTGTATGTATAGGTGTGTCATTATGTATGTCAGTGTATGTATGTGTCTGTGAATCTGTATGTGTGTCAGGGTATGTATCTGTGTGTCAGATACACACCCTGAAACACTCCTTGTGTCTGCGTCTGTGTCAGAGTATTTATCTTTAAGTGTGTCAGTGTATGTGTATATGTCTGGGTATCTGCAGGTTTGTCAGTATAGGTATTGGTGTGCCAATGTGTGTCGGTGTACCTGTATGTGTGACAGGGTGTGCATCTGTGTGTCAGGGTATGTAACCTTAAGTGTGTTAGTGTATGTATCTGACACACATATGCACACCCTGACATACATATACATAGAGACACATATCTATACAAACTTGCAGATACACAGACACTGACACACATCCTCACACACAGATACTTATCCTGACATACAGATACATACATGCAGATACAAAGATACATACACTTACACACTTAAGGATACACAGACACACATGCATATACACAGACACATATACTGACAAACATGCAGATACACAGACACATATGTATATACACGCACACTGACACTTAAGGATACATACCATGACACACATCCTCCCGCACAGATACTTATTCTGACTCACAGATCCACATGCACTTCTTTTTAGCACCCCTCCCCCTCTCCCGTATTCCTCTGCATGTGTGTGATAGGTGCTCTGTGTATCATGGGTGCTCTGTGTGTGAGGGGTGTGAGGCGTGTGTAAGGGGGTGTCTATATATTGTGGTGGGAGTTGCAGTAATTCATTAAAAATTATTTTACCATTTAATTTTTTTTCTAAAATTTTTTATATATAAATAAACTGTATGTTCCCTCTCCCCTCTTCTTACCTTTTACCTAGGAAGCGGGGACAGATCAGCAGTACTATTGGCCTCCCGCAAGATCCTCGGAGCGTTGCCGTGGTAACCTGCTGCAACGCTCCGAATCGCCGAATTTGCGGGAAGAACCTTCAACCTCCCAGCTCCTCCTTCAATCTCCAGGATGCCCGTCAGTGCCTGAGGCCCATGAAGGCACACAGCGGGGCCAGCGTTTGGATAGCGTTGGCCCAGCTAGGGCTGGCAGGGGAGATCCTGTGATCTGCCATTGCGGCCCACCGGGCAATCTCCCAGCCCGCGATTACCAAAATTATTTTGCGTACCCCCTTGGGGCACTAAACTGTACCCCAGAGGGTACACATACCACTTGTTAGGAACCACTGCTCTAGACCCATAAAGTATTTCAGCTTGCTGGAAAGCTTCATGTGAGGCGTGTCCTCTTTATTTGTAGACACTTACATGTTCTACTTCTTGGCTGTCAAGCAGACAGCCACTGTTACTTCCTAGTTGTTTTGGTCGGTGTAACTAAACTCAAGAGGCAGCTATTGTCCAGAACACATGCCTTGCAAATTGAGCTGCATTGGGAAGTCTGTGATTGGTCAGTCACAGAAAGTCTGGGCAGGATTAGAAGGGGAGGGCTTGCAAAGACTGCAGAAAAGAGAAATGCAGGTTTTGCAAGCCGTTTAAGATTTACCGCCAGTTAAAAAAATGCATACACTTTCAATTTGGGGTACATGTACTAAACAGTGATTTTTATTTATTTTGTATATGGGCAGTGGGGTATCCCTTTTAATTCCCTCCTAAAACCTACAGTTCATTGCCAAGCATAGGAAAGACACGATTGTGTACACAAGCACGACTCCAGCTGACAGGCTTTTCAATAAGTCACTGACTGGCATAACCCTTGGTACAGAATTAGTCTATGCCTGGGAAAGTGAGGAGGGCTTGCAAATTCTGCAGACAGCAGATCTCATATACCACCAAAGAAAACATGCAAAGAAAATGGAGGGTGTATATCTACTAAATAGTTTTTTTTTTTTTTAAATCACAAAATTTTCAATGTAGTGTTCCTTTAACCTCAAATCATGGTGAAAGAACAGTGCACCCACAGCAAAACCTCCGCCATGTACAGTATAATTAACAAAATATGATGCATTAAAAGGAGCATGGTTACTTGGAGGAGTTATTTCTCTCCCAGTATTACTGGGAATCTGGTACAAACAAACAATGAAATGGTATCAAAATTAAATTTGGGACTTTTCAGGTTCCAACTCAGTTCTCGGGCTTCTTAATATACCACATGCAGTGTGTCTTGTAATCTGTAATAAAGAAGCTTTCAAAATCAGAATGGGGAATTAACAAAACATGACACATAGAATTTAGAAATTTCCAGTTTATTTTAGGACTAAATTGAATTTGTCTTCATTTGAACTGTGCTATTTGAAGAAAACAAAAAGGATGTTTTTTTAAGCAGTAGTATTAGAAAACAGAACTTTTGGAAAAGTATACAGGAGTATGTTATTTCATTGGCACGAGAGTAATGAGATTGTAACCAGAAAAATTAAACATTTCAAATACATTTAAAAATCACGTTCACACAATGTAGCACCAATTTAAACTTTTCTACACATGATAAACTTAATAAAATTCAAAAGTTTAAAAAGTCTGCTTCCATCCAATTAATTTCTCTGGCAAAAATAAAAATAAATTCTTTGTTTCATTTAGTTCACATATCAATCCTCAACTCCTTAAATTCTAAATGTATTCAGAATGTTGTCTTCTTGGCATCTTCTTCAAAAGGTAACATTTAGAAATACATCAGAAGTTATAGATGTTTAAAATAGATTGACTTTTTGGTCCCTTGGGTGATGCGACATGATTAAATGTAAGTGCAGGGGTTTTCATTGCTGGATCCTACAAGCATAGCTACAGTTTAGCAAATATAAATTCCCATAAAAATAAATTAATAGTATTTCACGTGGACAATGCATATTGAGAACACATAATACATCTTTATGAAGTAAGGAGAACTATTATTCTGTTATAGACATCTTTTTTGTTGGTCAACAAGTTTAAAAAAAAAAATAATAAAATTATATATAACCAGAGTGTGCAATACATGGAAAAACGTAATGTATTCAATTTCTTTCTATCAAGGAGGATCTATGGCACAAAGGGAAGATTTTGCATAGTAAAAAGCAATGTATATGGTTTAAACGTACACACAAAAAAAGTCCCCTCTTATGTGGTGTAAATTTCACAGATTGCATAATTTACAGTAACTTTTTCCCCCCAGATGTTTTGTGATTGTTTAACATTAAAAAACAAATAGTAGTTTGATATTGCAGTTTAGGTCCCACGTGTTTTGGCCCGGATATTGATCAGTGACAAGGTTTTGAACATGTTTCTAGTAGATTGTCACTGTAACAAACATTTATCTTTCTGTAGTGTATCAGTTCTGCAAATTGGATTCACCCACTCGTCTCCCAAGTCAAAGGCCCTTGAAAAATGAAAAACCGCTAGTAGATATAGTGGCCAGCATGCCATTATCTTAAATAATTGAATGTTCATTTGTGCTTTATCACAGTTCGTGGAATGAAAATTAAATAAAATGGCAGAAACATGCTGTTACACAGATTGATTTTAAAAGTTACATATTTCACAAATGTAATTATACAGTATTGTTTTAATAGTATTGTCTTGCATTGATACTTTGTATGTTATAGAAGGATCTCAATGAACAGCTTGAGGTGAGTTGAAAATGGATTTAAGTTTAGGCAAGATTGCCAATTTGCTAAAATGGAAAATACTTATAACTATGATAAATGTCCTCTGTAATTTGTAAGAGTTTTGCCAACTCTCCACCATTTGCTGTTTAGTGGATAAATCCCCATAATAATCAAATGCTGTTGACTTATTTATGGTATGGCTTATATATGTGTTCAATGAGACTACTACATTTTTTATTTTTTTTTAAAAGCAAAACAATACCTAAAAATTAATATTTTTGGAACATTGCATAAGCAACTGGCAGTTTTAAATTCACTAGTCTGCAGAAGCCGCATAATCTGGTAAAAGTAAATGACAGCATATGTTCAGGAAACCATGGAGAATTGTACATTCTCTTATCCACACTTGTAGCAGTGACTCTAGGAGTGATGTAGAGAATGTATTAAAGGACCACTATAGTGCCAGGAAAACATACTAATTTTCCTGGCACTATAGTGCCCTGAGGGTGCCCCCACCCTCAGGGTCCCCCTCCTGCCCGGCTCTGGGGAGAGGAAAGGGGTTAAAACTTACCTTTATCCAGCGCCGGGCGGGGAGCTCTCCTCCTCCGATCCTCCTCCTCTTCTCCTCCCATTCGGCTGAATGCGCACGCGCGGCAAGAGCTACGCGCATTCAGCCGGTCTCATAGGAAAGCATTTACAATGCTTTCCTATGGACGCTTGCGTGCTCTCACTGTGATTTTCCCAGTGAGAATCACACAAGCGCCTCTAGCGGCTGTCAGTGAGACAGCCGCTAGAGGAATTGGAGGAAGGATTAACCCATTTACAAACATATCAGTTTCTCTGAAACTGCTATGTTTATAAAAAAAAATGGGTTAATCCTAGCTGGACCTGGCACCCAGACCACTTCATTAAGCTGAAGTGGTCTGGGTGCCTAGAGTGGTCCTTTAAAAGCTGGATTATCGGATATACGCCCACTTCCTTTTCATAGATTATCAAGTTCAAATACTACTTGTAGCAAAGGTAATGAATCCCTGGCATTAAAATGCCCAAAAAGTGAGGATATTAGAGGCGCTTTGTTAAATATATATACACACACACATACACACATCTACACACACACACACACACAAAGAGCAAATCTGGGGCAATGTACCAAGAGGAGAAATCACACTGGATATAATTGAAATGCTCCTGCTGATTGCCCCACAATTCTAGGAAGAAGAATTACTGGGTATAATATAGGTTCACCAACTACAAAACTCCATATAAACTGGTACATTAAACATTTCACAAATCTATTCTGGCTCTGCTACAAGAGCAAGACTGCCCCTGATGTAAATTTGAGTAAATTATGACATAACATACATGTTGAAAACCAAACCATAGACCTGGGCTTTAGTAGCTTGGAGAGTAGATTGACAGATTTCATATTTACATCTTGTGGGGATAAAATGTAAACACTTACAATCTAAAATTATTAAGTCATTCTACAGAAAGTAAGTATACTCAATATCCTGGAATTCGAACATCTTCTGCAAAATATATTTGTCAGTAAATTAATATTTCCCTATTCCAAGTGCTGGGGACTAACCACAAAAGGTTGTGAATAATACTTGGTGGATTTTGGGATTAATATAACACACAAAAACGGGATCTGGCATTAAAACTAGAGAAACACCCTGCTTTACCTGATCAAGTGCACAATTCTAAACCCACGAAGTTTGCAATATTAGGAGACATATAAAAAGTAAGAAGAGATGGGGTGTGTTGATTCGGAAGGCCCTAACCAGAGGTTAAGTCTGGTGCCCAGTGCAAGATTGTTTAATTACACGATTGCACTGAGTTTTCTGGGGAACCAACCTGGGATGGCAGCTGAAAGGGTCAGAACTGAGATGGTCTTGCAGAATTCAGCAAAAAATGAATGTGTTCAGCATTGTGTATATTGCAATTCATCTCTCCAGCTATGTAAATTAACGTAATGCATTATGTGTGCTACAGACCTTTATAGCTAAATGATTTAAGCTACTATTACATATGTGACAAGTGGAATACTGATATTTAAATACTAACAGAATTTGTCAAGTGAACCGACATTAATACATAAACATGAGATACTGATGGAGGGTGCCTGAGATTAGATGTGGAATAGACGCTATAAGTTTGAATGTACAAGTTTTAGTTTTGCAAATAACATTGCTATGGATAGGACAAAAATTACATTTTTTTTGTTAATGATACTAAACACATTGAGACCTGTATTCTTATACATATAGCTCTGGGAACCATAGCCTGTAGGAAATCATATAAAATGATGTCCTGTGTAAACCCCGCAAAACAATTGCAGATGCTGCACTGTTAACTACTCAGCAGTTATACTTTCTAGAGGCACTTCCTAAGTGTGTTTAATTATATTAACAGATATTGAAATTCAATTCTATGTGGATTGCATTAATCAGATGCTAAAACTCAATGATATAGGTTTTCATAGAGAATGGAGAGCAGCACAAGGGCTGGGTGGCAGTGCAAACCCGTACACAGCAGCTAAAGACCATAAAACATCACAGGGACATTTCTGCCATGACTTCTTTAGCAGTGATGCTGCCAGCTAAACCTTCCCCCTTTTTGCAAGGATAATGAAGTTCACTTGGTCATAGCGTTGATGTTATGCAATGAAGTTCTAGGTACAGATATTCCGTTATCTTTTCATCCATCATCTGAATTTTTCCAGATCTTAGCATCTTAAGGCACATGGTGAATCGCTGATCAAACCGTTTTCCTACTCCGGACAGTTAAATGACAGTTCTTGCATTCCAGCAAATTAGTTGCATAGATCTGGAACCCACCATATAGGTTTGTAGTGATTAATTCCACCTCTAACATCATCCCCACTTTGGTCTGTTTATTAGTGAATATTATAACTTTATCACGTTCCAGGTGATCCATATTCAGGATCCTCCAGAAGTTTGGAATCTTCAGGACACTCTTCCGAATTATGAATATCGTTTGGAACGTGGGGATTTTCCTCCTGATTCTAGCAAGTGTAACAAAAGCACACGTCAGTTAATAGGACCATACATGTTTTGCAATATAACAGATGAATGGCAAAAGATTATTATAAGTAGTCCATAACACTCACAGATTCCAGCTAAACGAGTACAAGACACGAGGGATGAAGCTGCTTGATGCACCCAACTTACTCCCAGACGAGAAGGAAATCGGAGACCGTAAATAATATTGCTCAAATTCTTACACCATTTCCCAAGAAATATATCTATCTATATTCATGGTAGAGTTAAGGCTAAAAATGTACATTCATAATACTTATCTTTTAATAGTAAAGGAGCACTCTTAGGATCACAACATATCAGTGAAGCAGAGCAGAGATCTGAGCATGCTGTCATGCTAGTGTGCAATAATATACTCTATTGATTATGGTGCTTAGAGTGACTCAACTGTTACAATGTCATGCATTTTGCAAAATGCAAATAAAGGCAAGGCATCAACTAAAATGACTTTAAATGTAATAGCATAACTATGCAGGTGTCCATTCAACCAGTTTTTGCACTCACAAGACCATCTTGCCAACTCTGTTTCTTCTAAATGAATATAACCAAGCCCAATATTGTTAAATACTCATACCTGAATGGATCAATTCCAGGCCATCTTCCTGATGGTTACATATATCTATATAGTCAACTGTTGAAATGTTTATAAGAAGATGCTGGAAAGCTGGTGTCATTTTTATTATTTAAACACAATCGAGGACAAAGATGCTGAATGAGTGATGAAGAACTGATTTTTACAAACAAAGCATGAAACAAACATGACAAGTATGAAAAAGAAATATAGAGGAGTTCATTCGGTTTAAGATGCATTCAGTTAATTAGTTTATGTATTAGTAGGATTAGCGTAATCAAAAAATAATGGTGCATTGATAATGGATCATAACAAAGATGGTGTCTTCCATTTAACACTACAGAAGTAGCATTAAATTAGGTATATACCTTCCAGGTCTATAACTGTACTAAACCCTCAATCTACCCTTCCATTCCCTGAAAATATTAAAAGGACTGCTAAAAGCCATGGTAAATGCGTAAAGTCACCAGAACCTGTTTGGCAGTGGACTGTTCATTAAAAGTTGTGGCCAGCAGTATGTAGAATTCATATGCTGGCAGAAAAGGGACTTCAAAAATGCAGCATGTGACTCTTGCATACGTCAGGGCTTTTTGTTTGTGGTCTATTAGCATGAACGAGTCATGTGTGGTCCAGGCGACATGTGAGATCAGGCAACCCTGATAAATGATTCGAATACTGTAACATCCACCATTAAATTTTATATGGCCAACATTGGATTTCTAGGTTAGACCATCTTGCTCTTAAGAGACTGCAACTTCAATAAAAAGCAATAAAATAATACATACCACTTGACCACACATATTTCAAACATGCTTCTACAAGATGAAGTGTAATTTCTCAACAAAGAAAAACTGCAAACCTAAGCTTAATCTAGAAATTCTACAAATCTATAATACTACGGTAGTAAGTGTTTAAAATTAGTCTAGATTAGCATGTATTAAAGAGTTAGTGCTAGATGCCTTTTAAGAGCATTCTAATTATTAAATTAAATATATATATAATTACTGAAATTGTGTGGGGGTTTTTTGGGGGGAGGAGGGGGAATGGAAGTCTAAAAATAAAATAAAAATATTAAAACAAAATACATTTATAAGGAATTTATTACCTTGTACGCACCTATAATCTGGCTTCCATCAGCACAGTTCCATTAGAGGCAGTCAACTTTTCTGTCTGTGCTTTATTGATATCCTGACTTTCATCAAGCTTTTTATTACTACTCCAAAATAAGAAGCAATTGTCCTAAAAGATAATTAGGCTTGTTTGTCATTAAAAAAATAGACTGTCAGGGAAAAAAATAAAAGCATTTCCAGGTTATATGCAAAAATTAGACTGTACTTGATGCCAAATAATCGGACAGAAATTTCTCTGTTACAAGGGGTTAAATAATTACTGAACAATTCAGTTTTTCATCTTATAGACCTGGAATTTTTTGGTTAAATGTGAAGCATGGTTTACGTCTCAATTTGCCATTCAAATGGCTTCAAACAATTCTCTTGGAATTGTAAAAAATAAATGTGAATACATCAAACTAAATTGAATTGGCATGAAGTTTTAAAGTAAAATTGAAATATTTAAAAAAATTAAAAATAAAATAAAAAGTAGTGGTTTTGGATAAAATGGTATTCCATAAAATGTTGGCACTTGGTCCATAAATTAAGCTGCTACAAGATTATTTAATATAAAAGGCATTGTACCATGTTAAATATAGGGTTGTACACTAAATTGGTAAATTAGCTTTTAAAAGTAATTAAATAAATTGGTATTTTATACCTTTTAACTGATCTTACAATGGAAACTGACTACACAATAAGGCACTTCAAATTATGTTAGTATTCTGTACACAACAATGCTAGTGTGGGAACTATACGCAAAAGAAATTTCAAAAAGATCTTAAACCTTAACTACTCTCTAATGGTTTCCTTCTGTTGTATACTCATAAGTCAGTGGCATTGTAAATGCCATTTAAAGGGACACTATTGTCAGCAAAACAATTTTAACTTAAACATTTTTAGCGTATAGAACATGCCCCTGCAGTCTCACTGCTCAATTATCTGCCATTTAGGAGTTTAATCACTTGTTTCTAATGATAGGGCACACCTGCCCTGGCTGTGACTGACACAGTCTGCATGAAAAAAAAAAAAAAAAAGTGGTTTCATTTTCAATCATATGTTAAATTACTTTATCTCCTGCTCTGTAAATTAAACTTTAATCATACACAGGAGGTTCCTGTAAGGTCTAGCAAGCCATAAACATTGCAGGAGATAGGAAATCCTAAATCAAATTTGCAATAAAGGAAGTATGAACATTAGATGACTCTTTACAGGAAGTGTTTGGGAAGGCTGTGCAAGTCATATGCAGGGAGGTATGGCTAGGGCTGCATAAACAAAGTGATTTAGCTCTTAAATGGCATAGAACGGCAGTGTGCCCTGGATTTACCAGCAGAAATGTTAAAAAGTTTCCAATAGGAAGAGGAGGAATATAAAATAAAAAATAAAATAAAAAAAAATAAGCTGGTGATAAAACCTTAAAGGTGAACAGAAGGAGCACACAAAGAAATGTTAGTACCATGCAGACAGACTGAAGCACAAAGAGGCAATACAAATAACAGTTGAAAATGATTTAGATGACTGAAACCTTGTAAATGGCAATGGATACAGACTTGACATTCTAATATGAAGGAGAAGACATGGACCAGAATATTACTCTTGCTATAGTCAAGGGTCCAGATAACCATAATGCAATAAGACTGTATATCCATTGCTGTACATATTAACCCTATTGGACTACAAGTAGACTATGCACCATGTGTAATGAACACCACTTCTCTAAAGCTTGGATAGCTTTACAAACCTTTAGCAAGACTAACCGTTGAGCCTCAGTGACCAAAATGTTTGTGTGCATTTTAACAGTTCCATTTAATCTTCCTTTTTTTTTTATACATGTTTATACTGAACATATAATGTCAATTACAAAACAAAGTAAATGGAAGGCAAACAAGGCAAGAAGTTGGGCTAAATAAGACCATGTAATTTACCGCTCCCTCACCCTTTATTAAAAGCAGCATCTTGTTATTTTAGCACAGAAACATGCAATTCGATTTCTGTAAATTGGAACAGACCCAATATGACTTAAATTAATATTTTTAATACGCCCAGCGGTGGATTAATTGCAAACTATAAAGTTACTAAACTTTATAGCTGTGTTCGTAGCGAATAGTCGGATTTGTCAGCTACAAGATAGATTGCAATTAGCACGGTCTCATTTTGCTTTGAAATGTATACAGGATTTATTTTTATTTTTTTTAAACCATTTTGAACTTTTATTGCTGAAGATGTATTGCTTTAATTAGGCCCAAGGTGGGATGCAAACTTTTGTTATTTAGATTTTCTATGGAACTCATGATTTAGAAATATTTTTTTTTCCATATTCATATTTCCAAATTAATATTGAGAACGTTACTTCAACGAGATGAGGCAACTAACTGGGAGCAACGGTTTGGCATCTCAGGAAGCCAACGTTGCAAATGCAGCTTTCACAATATCTGCAAAGTTATCTAATGTGTCAAGGGGAACAGTGTTAAAACAAATGTGTTACAAATGGACACTGGACACATTGCAGTTGCAAATAGAAACAGTCAATTAGGTCTCACACAGTGTGCAAACAGTCTGTATGTTGAGGGCATTTAGCAAATATAACGTGGCTAAAAATTTAAAATCATTTAGCACCAGACATGAATCGGCATATCTGTGCCTCAGTCTCGAAGATGACACAAAAGCTGAAAGGTTTTTTCCAAGGGCCTGCACTATAAAAAAATTCCTAGTCTACGGACTATTAATTCTGGTCTGAGTTATATTTCAATTTTATTCTACTTTAAAGTGCAAATTTACACTCGCATGCTGAAGGCATCTGCCTCCTGTCTTTCAACAGAAACATGATGGGTATTCATAATGGTACGGGCAGCCATCTTGTGCGAGTCAGGTTTATTCCACTAAAATTGTTGGGAATCCAAAGTTAATTTCAAAAGTAAGGCCAAAGTAGCTGAACTGTAAGTATATTAGCCTTACATTTGAAATTTTCTTTGAATTTGTTACAATTTTCACTTTACTGAATAACCCTGAGTGGGTTAAATGATTGCTATACATTTTTGTATATGAAGATTGTAATTTGTTAAGGAATAGGAAATTTTACAAGCTATGTTACACATGCATCTCCCGCAGTTTTCTCATTCTCTTAGATGATAATGCTCCCACAAACAGTTAAACAAATCCAAGAGCGATCTCACAAACAGAGTTAAGTAAATACCTTCCAATTGACTCAAGAATCAATAGGCTTAGCATTGGACATTAATGGGACATTCTGGAGTGTAGACTACCAAGCAGATTTTAATTTCCTTCATCCATTAAAGAACTATAGTGTTTTCTTTATACCAGAGGTTGCAATATTATCCCAGCACACAGTCCAAAAATATGCATTACTGCCTTTAATCTTTGAACTCTTTATTAGTATTTATGGTAATTTATTGCTTGGGATTTCTATTAATTTGTCCACAACCTGTATGAGGAGGCAGACCTCATTCAGAATCCCTAAAATTCTCTGTCACCTTTAATGTTTATTTACAAATCAGTCCTCTGGGACTTTGAGCCCTTCTAACCCATATTTTCTGGAAGGCTATTGGGGGAAATAAACAAATCAATTATTTTGCTAATAATTTAAAAAGTCATGTTATTTTCCATGTTAAAAAGCGATTAGATTGAAGAGATAGTATTTGGCTACTTCCTTCTCCACCACACAGCCAGAAAAAACAAAAAACAAAACTCCTCTCCTTCAGATAAAAATTAGACACACTTTGTATATTTTCAAAATTCTGTGCAACAAGTGTATACTTTCACCCAGAAACATGCAGTGGTGTTCAACAATATTAGTAAGGCATAGCAGGTTTAGATATAATTAATTACCCAAGATAGATATTGGCAGTTTGATACACCAGTGAACTTAATTCTTACTACAAAAGAACTCAAATTTATTGACACGGAAAAGATGTAGACGTTAAATAAGAGACTACTTTATCCTTCCTCTTATGCATAGATATATAGCCCAGAGTTAAAGGTTTTATGGAAGCATCAATTGGGAAGTTCTGATATTCAGTGGAACAGTTTAAAAAGTTTTTAATACTCAATTAAACCACTTATCTTTATCTGTCTAGTTGTAGTGCAGTTTGTACAGGTTTTTATGACTGAACTAACAACAAATGGCCACACACATGCACCACTGATAGCTGGAACGAGGTACAAACTCACTGTATTGAGAAATAATTGAAGAACTTTAATGCAAGTCCTCGAGACATAACTAAACTGCAAACCCGAGTTATTTGTTTGTTTTTTCTTTGGCAGGGAAATTCTTACCCGTTGTACGAAGGGCAGGAGCAATGCAATTAGAATAAAACCAAGCCCAAGTGCAATGAGGACGTATTGCAGATAGTCAAGTATTGTAGGAAACAGGACCAAAGTATTGTAGTAGGTGGTATAAACCGCACCGTCAAGGTATCCACTCTGCAGATGACAAAGAGCACGAATAGGTAAATCACAATTTGTTTTGTGAAGCAAAAATAGGAAGGTTGCTCAAGAAAAGAGAAAAGGTAAGACATTCCACCTATATTTGGTTTAGTTTATTTTCTATAATATTCTCATTTGCAGATGAATATCAGTTTACAGATAACTACAGAAAGATCCACGCAATGGCATAGCCTAACGTGCTATATTTCGTATGAATCTACTAATGAGAACTCTTTCAACTGTATAAATAGCAGAAGTTATATGATAAAAGTCTTCAAATCTCAGCCTCTACTATTGATACTCTTTAAAGTGGTTCTACATGGAAACCACAGCTCCTAGAATACATTTACAGAGTAATTCACTCAAGTGAGAATGTCACGTGAATTTCAAGTGCATTTCAACTATAAAGTCTAAATAGCCAAACTGGAAAAAGTTCACAGGATTATCTATGCTTTCAGTTTGACTATTTTGGCCTTAAATTTGAAATTAATTTTGGATTCTCACTTTAGTAAATAAACTGGTTAGTGTTAAAGGCAATGGATGTGTATTAAAGGACCACTATAGGCACCCAGACCACTTCAACTTAATTAAGTGGTCTGGGTGCCAGGTCCAGCTAGGTTTAACCCTGCCTGCTGTAAACATAGCAGTTTCAGAGAAACTGCTATGTTTACACTAGGGTTAATCCAGCCTCTAGTGGCTGTCTCATTGAAAATCACAGTCAGAAGACGCCAGCGTCCATAGGAAAGCATTGATAATGCTTTCCTATGAGACTGGCTGAATGCGCGCGCAGCTCTTACCGCGCATGCGCATTCAGCCGAGGAGGAGAGCTCCCCGCCCGGCGCTGGAGAAAGAGGTAAGTTTAACCCCTTCACCCTAGAGCCCGGCGGGAGGGGGACCCTGAGGGTGGGGGCACCCTCAGGCCACTATAGTGCCAGGAAAACAAGTGTTTTCCTGGCACTATAGTGGTCCTTTAAAGCCAACATGAACGTGTAATGAAAAAATTAACTTGCCTAAAATCATTCCCATATACACTGAATGCTCCATGTATCTTGTGATGATGTATAGTGTATTCAGTGTAAAATATATCTACTCATTATTCCAGCGTTGTTTTGTGGGTGTTACTCTTTGTGTAACACCCATTGCTGGCCTGCAGTCTTTGATTTGCTCTATTGCCAGTGTCAGAATGGCACCACGTCACTCTGTCCCTATACTCCCTAGCCAGCGAGTTTCTGTAGCAACCATAGTGCATGCACTGTGGTTACTATGGGTGGAGAGCAGAGGGACCTCCTGTGGGAGGTCTTTTTTGCTCTCCCTGGTCAGTTAAGGTCTTCCCACACATTGACCAACAACTTTTTAAAATCGGTTTCTCTCCTAATCTATACATTTGTTCAAAAAAACCAATACAGCTAGCACAATGCATAGATAGAATTGTACGTTCAGTCTAATGAACATATGTTGTTAAGGGCATGACCGGTTCCCTTTTAGCACAGTAAGACAACGTCAGACTATGCAATTGATCTTTTCACTTGTGATGTAATGGAAAAACTCAGACACTTATTTAATACAAGTGCAAAAAGACTGCTTTCCTGTAGGAATGCCATAGTCCAGTGAAAGAGTAGACACTTGCTTCCTTCTTGCCCAATATAACAGTGGCTCGGTGTAAACATGCAAGGGTGGCAGAGAGCTATACACTTACCGTGCTCTTCCTGGTAGCGATAGCATGGTAGCTGTGCAGGAAGAGCACAGAGTTCCCAGCAAAAAAAATAGGAAAGTGTGCGCCTGTCTTTAATTGTAATATATCTGCAGTTATAAGGGAGTTTGTCTAATTGACTGTAAAGGTCTGGGATTGTAGGTGTGCTTAGGTCTGTAGTCAAGTGTGTGATTATTTGTGTCTGATTGTATCTGGGTGTGAGTTCATTAAAATGTGTGTGTTTAGTTGATAGCCCCCTAATTAGGTATCATTTAATATGGCAAACCCACATAAGGAGGAGTGTATCACAACAGTATAGCATGGGAGGATTTGTTCTGTTATTTACACGTTCTACAGCTGGGTGGAAGCCAAGGTGGGCCCTCCCCTAGGTACCAATTCAATAACATCAACCCAAAAACCAAGCTGTACACCACAACAGATTGTGGTTTGCACCTTGGTTTTGGATTAATCTCATAAGGACAACACATAAGCGTTCTCGCATAAACAACTGAAAGATCAAAATTAAGACAAACTCCCTAAATTGGTACCCTTATGTGGGATTGCCATATTTAAAGGATAACCAATTAGGGCACTGTTTACTAGATAGCTCTCTTATTTGGTATCCTTAAATATGGAAACTGGAGTGATCTACTAAACAGCTGAAATGTAAAACAAAAAAACAAGAGTAGTCATTAGCCAGCCCAGAAGAATTCTGAGTGGCTAATGTGAATTCAGTGAAAATGTGTTGTCTGAGGTCAATTTGCACAGCATGCTGGCTCCAGACAGCCAATGGTGGCATGTTACCTCAACCCCCAGTGGAAATGATTTGTGTCCCCATCCCCAGTCTTGCCTGTGGTATGTGCTCCCACTTTATAAATTGTTCCTAAAGTCACTACTGCAACTGACGTCAATACAGTTATGAAATCTACATGTGGCTACTAAATCTCAGGGGGAAGAAGGGCACAAGTAACTTCATTAACCCCTTAAGGACACATGACATGTGTGACATGTCATAATTCCCTTTTATTCCAGAAGTTTGGTCCTTAAGGGGTTAAAGGCAATGTGTGTATGTTAAACACTTCTCCATTAGAAATTTAGTAGGAGCGTATTTAGGCTCTCCCTGTCATATCTCTGTAAGAGGACCAGTTGTCAGGAAAGAGGACTATTATGCATGTTTTTATGTATTTGTTACATATCTGTATAAACAATGAGCAGGGAACCTCTCCAATACTCAAATTCTCAGTACAAAAAAAAAAAAATGAATAAAAGAAAGTATAAAAGATCTGAAATGTTCTCAAATAAATTACTGCCAATGAGTTTAAGCAGCTTTTTATGAGTTGCTGACCTTTTGTTGCCACCTTAGTGCCATGCATAGTCCTCTCTAAGAGGGACTTACTATTTCACCTGTATTTCCAGTATATTTCTCCAGCTTTCTAATTCCCCAGTTAGCCATGAATTAAGTTTTGAATACAACTGGCAGAATGAGTGGAGACTATACAAATGCAATCTGGTTCTCATCATACCACCATCACCACTTATTTTCTACTTCTTTCTTTTGCTTTCTATATACCTAGTGGCACTGATAACATTACCCCTACATTACAGACAGATATCTGGAACAGCAATATAAAAGTGATGAAAGCAAACTGCAATAGAATTCAAACATGCCTGGGAATATGAGAAACGCATATGGACACTGGTAAGAAGATCACGCAAGTTACCTAAAAGCCACATACTCATCACCAACTTACCTCTCCAAACCAAAGTACTGGAAGAATCACAGGTGCTATGCTACCAGTTTGCCTGTATATAAGAATGAAAATAAATTTGGTACATTATGTAGCCTTAAAAACCATATACAAACACGTTTTTGCTCTATGCTTTCATTAAACAAAGCTGTAACTTGTGATGTAGTTTTAAAAGGGAGAAAATAGGTTTTTAAATATATATTTTGTATGTTCTAAAGTGCAATTTCAAGTATCAACTGTGTGTTTGACCACTAGAGGGCACACAGAGCAGATTTTAAAAACATTTTTAGTCTCCTTTCTTGGACACTGGACAGTTTGTGTTTTCTGTGACTTGCTTGTCAAAGGGTCAAAGGAAGCAGATAGGGCAGGGTTGTCAAACTCCAGGCCCCAGAGGTTGATGAACACACACACACAAAAAAAAAAAAAAACACTCTTTATGAACTAGACAGCCAACAACCTAATTTTTACAAGCAAAAAGCAAAAACAAAATTGCAGTATAGACCACATTTACATACACACACACACCCCAAACATGATCCAAAGCACTCACTCGATTTCACAGCAATTTAAAAACTCACGGAACAGTATTTTTTTAAATTTTGTTTTTTTAACCTGTCTAATTCACCCTAAAAACATTGCCAGCATACGCACCTTTCTTACAAAAGATGCTACCAAGGAGCTTGTTCATGCCAGAGTAATCTCTAGCATTGATTACTGTAATTTTCTCCTAATTGGTCTCCCCAGAAGCCATACTGTCCCCCTACAATCTGTGATTAATGCTGCTGCCAGGCTGATCTTTCTCTCCTGTCGCTCCTCTCACACCTCACCCCTCTGTCAATCCTTACACTGGCTTCCAGTACTCTAAAGGTGTCAGTTTAAAATATGTACCCTTACCTATAAGACTCTAACCAACTCTAGTACTCAGTCACCCAAAAAAAAAAAAAAAAATATCCAACAACAAAACATACAAACTATATACAGTCATGGTAAGAAAAGTACACCCTCTTGGTTTTACCACATCAGGACATAAGCATCTGTTCCTCAGCAGGTCTTCTAATTAGGTAACAACAACCGAAGATAAACAACATACCATGACATATTACCCGGTCATGATTTAAATAGTTGGGGTCCCTCAACTGTTCCTGCTGACTGGTAAGTCCCCTCCCCTTCTCTCTGTTACAAATGTGGCAAGTTTGAGGGGCTTTAAACAATTTATTAAAGGAACACTATAGTCACCTAAATTACTTTAGCTAAATAAAGCAGTTTTAGTGTATAGATCATTCCCCTGCAATTTCACTGCTCAATTCATTGTAATTTAGGAGTTAACCCCTTCAGACCGGAGGGCGTACTATTACGCCCTATTATAGGCGGCTCTAAACGCCGCCGGGCGTAATAGTACGCCCTCCGGTCTTTCGGTACTTACCCGGTCGCCGTCGGTCCCACGCCGGCGATCGCGGTAAGCCCCCCGGCCATGTGAGAGTGGGGTCCTCGCGAGGACCCCACAATCACAGGGCCGGGGATAGCTGGCTTCTGTATTGCCAGCAGGGGGGCTGCCTGTAATGACAGGTGGTCCCCCTGCTGGCTGAAAATAAAATTAAAACAAATAAATGGTGTAAAAAAATAAATAATAATATATACTTAGATCATATATATTATATATATATATATATATATATATATATATATATATATATATATATATATATATATATATATATATATATATATATATATATATATACACACACACATACATATACACACACACACCGTCTAGGTGTATTTTACTATTAATATTATATATATATATATTAATTATATTTATATATATCAAATTACACGTAGACTGTTACTGATTAAATATATATAATTATATATATATATATTATAAAAAAAAATTAAAATGTAAATACGTTAAAAAATAAAATTAAAAATAAATTAAAAAAATATATAGATGTGTGTTATTTCGTTCTAACTGTATACAAAATACACGTAGAACAAAATAATATATATCTATATACATAAATATACGTATATATATATATATATATATATATATATATATATATATATATATATATATATATATATATATATATATATATATATATATATATATATATACACACACACACACACACATTAATTCTACATATATATTTATGTAATATTTTTACATAATTAGGTATCTTAATTACAATTAGCAGGACCTGCCTGACAACCCATGCCGAAAGTAAAGGGAATTTAATTTGCTAGCACTATATTTAACCCTATAACTTTCCGAGACACCATAAAACCTGTACATGGGGGGTACTGTTCTACTCTGGAGACTTCGCTGAACCCAAATATTAGTGTTTCAAAACAGTAAAATGTATTACAACGATGATATCGCCAGTAAAAGTGACGTTTTTTGCATTTTTCACGCACAAACAGCATTACACGGACAATATTATTGCTGTGATACCTTTTACTGTTTTGAAACACAAATATTTGTGTTCAGCGAAGTCTCCCGAGTACAACAGTACCCCTCATGTACAGGTTTTATGGTGTTTTTAAAAGTTACAGCGTCAAATATAAGGCTTGCGTTTCATTTTTTTCACATTAAAATTCGCCAGATTGGTTACGGTGCCTTTGAGACCCTATGGTAGCCCAAGAATGAAAATTACCCCTATGATGGCATACCATTTGCAATAGTAGACAACCCAAGGTATTGCAAACGGGGTATGTCCAGTCTTTTTAGTAGCCACTTAGTCACAAACACTGGCCAAAATTGGCGTTTTTTGCATTTTTCACACACAAACAAATACTAACGCTAACTTTGGCCAGTGTTTGTGACCAAATGGTTACTAAAAAAGACTGGACATACCCCATTTGCAATACCTTGGGTTGTCTACTATTGCAAATGGTATGCCATTATGGGTGTAAATTTCATTCCCGGGCTACTATACAGTCTCAAAGGCAACGTAACCAATCTGGCGAATTTCAATTTCAAATGTAACTTGCTATATTTGACCCTGTAACTTCCCAAAACGCCATAAAACCTGTACATAGGGGGTACTGTCTTACACGTGAGACTTTACTGAATACAAATATGTGTATTTTATTGCAGTAAAAGCAAACAGTATTATGACACTGACCGTTAAAATGTCATGTAGAACTAAAAAAAATTAAAAAATCGTATTTTCTCCCATTTTTTTCATATTAAATTATGTTTCATAGCTAAATATTTGATATTAAATGAAAGCCCTGTTTCCCCTGAATAAAATGATATATAATAAGGGTGGGTGCATTTACTATGAAAGAGGTGTATTACGGTTGGACAGACATGTAGCGCAAATGCCAGGTTTTGTTTACATTTTGTTTTGTTCACAACGTGTACATTTGGCTCCGTCCATAAGGGGTTAAATCACTTTGTTTCTGTTTATGCAGCCCTAGCCACACCTTCCCTGGCTATGATTGACAGAGCATGCATGAAAAAAACCAAAAAAAAAAAAACTGGTTTCACTTTCATACAGATGTAATTTACCTTAAATAATTGTATCTCAATCTTTAAATTGAACTTTAATCACATACAGGAGGCTCTTGCAGGGTCTAGCAAGCTATTAACATAGCCGGGGATAAGAAAATCTTAAACAGAACTTGCAATAAAGAGGGGCAGCAGTTATGCTCCCCCTTCCCTAGTTGTCCAGGGGGATTCTTTGCATCCTTAGAAAGCGAGTAAAGTGTGTGGTTGCAGTTCTACACCTCTTCGATCATACTACTGGGGTGAAACCAAAGGATTGGGATTCTTTAGACACCCACCCATTGACATTGCAGGAAAACTGACAATTTAACATCTATGCTTTGTGTTTTCATAAAGCATTCAAACTAAAAAGGGTAATAAGACAATCCAAGACTTGTTTATTACAACACACATACTTCCCTTTATTTTTCACCAAGATACTCACATAATATCAGAATGATGTTTTTGTTTTGTACATAATGGGTGGGGGGGAGGGATACAAAAACAAAAATACACACAAACAATAAAAATTGATACTTACGATATTCCTGATATTGCTTTTGTAAACAAACTAAGCTGCATCTTAATTGAGCAATTCATGGGTATGCCTGTAAGCTAAATAAGACAAATATAAGAAAACAAAGCCACGGCTGAAGACTAAAGCAAATTTATCCATGAAACAGATTCAAGATTTTATTATGCCATTATTGCCAGTAGAACATTTTTTTATAGCCCCTCTTCACATTTTTGAGTGTAAATATATTCCAGATAATTGCAGATTTTAGAGTTCAAATAGCCTTATCAAAATATAAACATACAATTACATTTTAATTTAAACTATTGTTAGAACAAAGACCCCTAGAACTAAAACAACAACAACAACAACAAAAAAACATTCTGGCAGAAGCAGATCTATTTTAATGCATCATTGAAATTGTGCATGGACACAAAAATAAAAATTTTTTTTTTTAAAAACCCACACACACCACAAACACCTAAGTCTCATTTCTCAGACAGCCCTGAATTTCCTGTTACTTTTAATTGGAGCATTGTACATATGCAATAAATCAATGGTCAATCCAAGTTTGAGATTAATATTGTTCTTTGTATTCCTAAAAATTCTTACATTAGCAAAATAGTTTTCAATTTAAGACAAAAACTAACTGACCTGGAAGCATAGCGGACTTGGAGTTTTTACCCAGTTCTGCTATTCTGACATTAAAATTGAAATTCACTTTTGATTTCAAATTCTTATTTTTTTTTGGATTAGCCATGAAAGGAGTATCTTTTGATCAGGGCCGTACTGGCCCACCGGGATACCAGGAAATTTCCCGGTGGGCTGCAGCAAGCTGGGGCTGGGCTGACAGCCCTAATGATTAAGATGATTACTCCTCCCCTCGGACTGTGCCAGCCTGTCAGTCCGAGGGGAGTAAGGAGGGAGGAGCTGGGGGCTGGATTGGCTGCCTGCAGCCGCAGGGAGACCTGTCAGTCTCCCTGCACAGTCTAAAACAATTTTGGCCGCATGCCCTGCCCCCAGATGGAAGCTCTGCCCCCACAAATGTTGCTAGAAAGCTGCCCACCGGACCAAGAGGAAACTGAAAAGGTATTTACCTTTTTACAGCCCCCTACCCACCATACAGCCCCCCCTCCCCCACCTCACAGACAGCCCCCCCTACCCACCATAATAGATATACACACACCAATAATATTTAAGGCATATATGTATGCATGTCTTGCCACCCCAAATGATTGAGTAATATACACACAATATATATCTATATCTATCTCAATCATCTGGGGTGGCAACACATAGCCGTACGTTTGACATGTGACAAAATATGGCGCAGTGACTTATGGGACTGGCATCGATTTTATTTTAAGGTCTGCTTTGTATCCCCAGTCCGGCCCTGATTTTGATATAATCCAAGAACCAGGGAAAGTTTCATGTAAGATCTTGTTAATGCATTTGTGATGTCCAGGTTGATACATTTAATTATTAAAACAAGTTGAAAAAAAAAAAAAAGGAAACACTCCATACCCCTCAAGAACTTCAGCTTGCCGCAGTACTTTGTGTTTCATTTTACTATAAGCAATACCAAGTATTGCTTCTATGTTTAGGGCGTGCAAAAAGGTTTTAAAATAAATTTTAAAAAAGTGTATATAACAGATTGTTGTGGTATACACACACTTTTAAAACATAATAGTGTGTATAATTGTATATATACACACATATATATATATATATATATATATATATATATACACACACACACACACACACATATATACACACACACACACACACCTTTTAAAAAAACTGCATGAATTATTGCAAAGTCTGTATAGCAAATAACCATCTGTATACATTTTTTAGGGGTGTCAGTGGGGGTGTAGTCAGGAGTAAGGCTGTTCTGATAAATTTTATTACAATATATGGAACTAAAATGCATTTTAGATATTGTTTTATTGTTTTTTTTAAACTCTGACAACAATATGAAGCGCCTAGAAAAGAAGGACCTTAGGAGAGAAATGAGGGACAGATTGATTTGGGCCTAAAATTAAAGAGACTGTCCCACCTAAATAGGAAAACTTTGGTGGTATGAGAAGTACATTAACAGAACACTATAGGGTCAGGAACACAAACCTGTATTCCTAACCCTATAGGGTTAAAACCACCATCTAGCCACCCTCACCCTAAATATAGTAAATCTTACTTGTATTCAAGCCAGAAGCTGCTGGCTTTATCACGGTTTCCTTTAGACCTGCCCACTGCCTGCTGACATCAGCAGAAGTGGTAGCCTGATCCAATCACAATGCTTCCCCATAGGACTGGCTGAGACTGACAAGGACGCAGATCAGTGGCAGAGCCAGCACAATTCAAACACAGCCCTGGCCAATCAGCATCTCCTCATAGAGATGAATTGAATCAATGAATCTCTATGAGGAAAGTTCAGTGTCTGCATGCAGAGGGAGGAGACACTGAATGTTTGGATGCATTCTAGGCAGCCATGACCCAGGAAGGATCTCTAACAGCCATCTGAGGAGTGGCCAGTAAAGTTATCACTAGGCTGCAATGTAATCACTTCATTTTCTCTGAAGAGACGGGGCTTACAGCAAAAAGCCTGAAGGGTAATGATTCTACTCACAGAACAAATGCAATAAGCTGTAGTTGTTCTGGTGACTAGTGTCCCTTTAATCATTCAGCTCTGTAGATATGCAATCACAGTGTGTTGCTCCATTGTCTGTGTACAGAAAGGCTTACACTACTAAATAGCCCTGATAATTCTTTTACTGTACTGTAGAACACAAGCCTACTTGGTCTTGTGAAACAAATAAAATATTTTCTGTGCAGATAAGCAGTTAAATTGAGTCTGATTAGAACATGGATAAGGAATTAACAGTACACAAATTCCAATAAAAACATCTTGTGTGATGACCACATATCTTTATCCTTGATCATTGCTATCCAATTAAATTTACAGCATTTGAGCAACACTGATAACTGAAGGACTGTTTGATTAGCGAACAGATTACAGATTGTATAACTCAGCTCCATGTCCAGCAATAGTAGTCCTAAAATTTATCTAGATTCATACTGCATAATAAAAGTGGTATTTAATTTCATAACATTTATTTAAGTAGGTTTAAATAAACATGTGATCATAAAAAGTGTGACAGCAACTCGCACCCCTCAACACAAACAAAAGACAAACAAAACATGTGGAATGAAGAAAAAAAAAAAAAATCATTCTGAAAGAACAGCAGCACCATCACATTAGAGGGATACTGTAGTGCCAAGAATACAAAGCTGTATTCCTGGCAATACTGATCCCCCTGCCTCCCCTATCCCTGGTAAATAAAGGGTTAAAAACCCTTTACTTACCTTATCCCAGTGCCGATGTCCCTCGGTGCTGGGCCGAAGCTCCGCCCCCTCCTCTGTCATGCAACGAGTGGGGTCCAATGGTCATGCACAGCAAATGCAGAGCGTGAGGTAACAGAAAAAAATTCAGTTTGGATTCCAGAAGCCCTCTGATGGCTGTCTGGTAGACTGCCACTGAGGGCAGATTTAGAGCTGCAATTTAAACACGGTTTTACATTGCAGCAGTAGGTGCAAAAGGGACACAGCACCCAGACCACTTCAATGAGCTGAGGTGGTCTGGGTGCCTACATTGTCCCTTTAAATCAGAATGTAATGCAATTAATATTCTTTTTATTCTTATGAGACTTTCTTTCACTCAAGAACTTCTTGTGTTTAATTTACATCACTTTGTATTTAATTTTTTTATTTTTTACAATTTAATGAGTGGAAACACTTTTTAACCGGAGGTCAAAGAACTCCACTTTAACAATTCAGACAGCCTAGTCAAGCTTATTTGAAAGGAAAGGGAGGTGTACCAAGGAGGGTGTCGCTGTTAAAGGGTCACCAGAACAACTACAGCTTATTGCATTTGTTCTGGTGAGAAAAGGCAGTGTTTACATTACAGACTAGAGACATCTCCACTGGCCACTCCTCAGATGTCTACTAGAGATGCTTCATGGGGCAGTGCTGCACAGTGTGATTGATTCAATGCATTGCTATGAGAAGATGCGATTGGCCAGGTCTGTGTTTGACTTGTGCTGGCTCTGCCCCTGATCTGCCCCCTTGATAGTCTTAACCAATCCTACAGGAAAGCATTGTGATTGGCTCAGACCACTGCTTCTGATTATGTCAGCCAAGCAGGCAGATCAGATGTAGAGCTAGCAACAGCAGTCTGGAATAAAAGGTAAGATTTTACTATATTTAAGGGGCAAGTGTGTGGGGCTAAACTGATTTTTCAACACTGGGTCAAGAATCAAAGTTTGAGTTCCTCAATCTATAGTGTTCCTTTAAAGAGAAATATTTGAAAACTATAAAAGAACCACTGTATAGTGAATATACCTTGCCTCAAACCACTTCTATGCTTTGCAAGCGAGCCATACTCTCCACATCCTCTTCCTACCAAGATGCATAGTGAGGTCATGAGGTGCAAGTTCTCGAGGGACTTCATATATTCAGAATAATTTAAGGGCTGGCTAGTATAATAGCACACAGAGAAAAGGAGACCCTGTCTATATTTACCTTGACTTAACTGGATAGTTAGCATTTAATAATGTGGCAATTTAAAACATTATCAATGCGGTCTGATAAGGCCATCCATGTAAAGTGACATCAGTGATGCTAGATATAATCACATTTCTTGTAATATTTTATGAATATTCTATATATTCTATAGATTCTTCCATCCTCATGAAGTGGAAACGCTTACAACATTCCAATCCATATAGATCTGTAAATAAAAACCCTTGGGACTCTTAACCCTTTCAGGATCAACATGATATTTTCAGCACATTAGGTTACAGGGCTAAATCGCTGACCTCACATTAGATTAATCTAAATTACTATGCTTGTAAACTAAAGTGATAAGTCCATTAGAAGAAATTACTTTAGACAAGTGAGCGAAAAAAATAAAAATAGAAAGCCAATAAAATAAAAACACAAAAAAACACAAAACCCAAAAACGTTATGCAATGTAGAATTTCGAAATCAAGCTGTTATAGTGACACAGTGTGTTTGACAACTGAGAGTTCAGTCATTCTACGGTTTCATTGAATAAAAAAAAAATATTTATTTTTTATATAAAAGGATTTCTAGCGCTTCCAATAAAGTTAGTAGGCAGCTAGGACAACAAGCCAGGGTCTCTTTCTAGTAGTAGGTAAGATGCAAAATGAAGAAAGACCCTCTTTATTCATTTTCATATTTTAATTACTGCTGTAAGACATGGCAATTTTCACATGAACACACTAGAGATATAGATATATAGATCTATATATATCTATATCTCTAGTGTGCTCATGTCAAAATTGCCATGTCTTACAGCAGCAATTAAAATATGAAAATGAATAAAGAGGGTCTTTCTTCATTTTGCATAATTATATATATACACATATATATACATATATACACACATATATACACACTTTATTTGATTCTAGCCCTTTCTACACAAACACTCACATAATGCGGGTGTAAAATAGCCTCCATTAGCGTTTATGCAGCAACTCATTTAAAAGAACAGTAGATACAACAACTCAGGGCCGGCCTTAGGCACCCTGTGCGAAAAGTCTTCACGGCGCCTCCCCCACCAAGTTGCCTGTATACAGTCACACATAGGAAGACAGTCACAAATGCTCAGTTACAGACACACAGTCACAGAGTCAAACACAGTTAAAGGCAGACAGTTACACACAGTCATGAAGATTTACAGGCAGACAGTCACACATACTCCATTACAAGCAGAAAATCATACACACTGTTACAGGCATGCAGACACTCACGCACGCTGATAGACACACACAGTTAAGGGCAGATAGTCACACAGGCAAGCACACACAATTGAAGTCACAGACAGAAAGTCACACACAGGCAGGCAGGCAGGCAGTCACACACATACACAGACTTACCTCTTTTCATTATGGCTGGAAGGGGGAGTGGACGCAGTTGGTTGTTGGGGAAGCAGGACTCCTTCCTGCTAACCTCTTCCTGTGCAGCAGTTACCAGGGGCTTTGGCTAAGTATTAGCCCCGCCTCTGCCTCGCAATAAGCCCTGCTGCTAGTTAAGCCCCGCCCCCTCAAAAGAATTTATAGACCCAGGTGGAGAATTATGAAATCCTCCACCCTGGTACCTGTTTTAGCTCCCCTGTCATCCGGCCATGTGCGAGCTGTGTCGGCCACATGGCGCCCCCTGGTTAATGGAGCCCTGTGCGGCCGCACAGTACTCACACCCCTGAGGCCGGCCCTGCAACAACAACTTTTCCACTGCAAAACTATAAGTGCACAAGAACTGGCTGAGAAATCAGGCTCTTGGGATTTATCTAAGTATATAATATTTAGAGATGAAAAATTAGTTCCATATTTTATCCGTTTAAACAGGCCATCCATGTTTTTGATCGTCTAAATGACTCACGCTATGCATAAGGACATCCAGTGTCACTGGAATCCCCATAGGAATGCATTAATGCTTTCCTATGGGTAAATCTTAATGCGCATTAGGTCTCCCCCACAACTTACGTCGGTGGGGGAGAAGCGTGGGTGGAGCATGGGGGTTTTAACGGCTTTGTTTTCCTGGCACTATAAAATCCCTTTACGATTGCCTTTATTAAGAGTGCAGGGACTTTCATCTTCAACTTAAAATAAGACCTCAAGATATATGGGGAGATAAAAAAAACACACATACACATCTAGCACATTTTCAAAATTGTAATTAGATTGTAAAAGTAATTAGCTTCTGTGAGTTTAGTGACTTTAAGGGAAATCTTGCCAAAACAGGAAATGGTTTTGAAGAATAAGCAAAGACGTAATGTATTGAAGTCTATCACTTAACTAAAGGGGACACTATAGTCACCAACACAACATTAGCTTAATAAAGCAGGTTTTTTTTTTGTTTTGTTTTTTTAATTGATCATGCCCCTGCATTCTTTTTTTTTGGATAATCAAGTTTATTTGTAAGTAGGTATATCGCATTTCAGGCTCGCAGGCCCCAATCATCATAAGAACATGAAGTTACAGTGGATAAGCAGTTGACATCTACATTGAGGTTTCAATGAGGCAGAGGATCAATTACAGTTCCAATGTTCGCTCATGTCCAGTGCCCATAGTTAGGTATGTTGTTGGGTCAATTAAGTTATTGAAGTGTGTGAATGTAGTAGACTCGTACAGTCGGGCTAGGCCCGTGAGAGATGGGACAATGTGAGTGTAGTGGAGTCCATATAGTGCCTGAGGTGGTATGTGTGCCTGTGTGTAGGTAAGTATATCGCATTTCGGGCTCGCAGGCCCCATTCATCATAAGAACATGAAGTTACAGTGAATAAGCAGTTGACATCTACATCGAGGTTTTATTTTATTTATTTTTTTTTTGAAAATTTTATTGGAAATTCGCATAGATACATCAATTGTCAGTGGTATTCAAGGTATAGTATAAGAAACAACAAGATACAGTGATGTTAAGGCATGACAATGGCAGTATGGAATGTACAACGGTTATCGGGTCGTCTGACCTTGCATCATGATGATACGTCATAGTTAGCTTGAGTGTGCATTGTACCCAGTTTAACTTATTGCAGAGAGTGGCGATATCCTTATAGTGTCATGAGTGCACCTGACGGTTTTACCTGTGGTGGTGGGTATGCAGCCTAGGGATAGGCTCGGATTGGTGTTATTTTTGTCGTTGTTCCCCGGACTCTAATTGGTAACTCTAATTAAGGCTAAGTTGCTTTCTCAGCATGAGTATCAGACGAGCAGGATTACATCTGGTGATCCAATAAAGGAAAACCGGGTTTCCATAACGGGGAGCTTGTCTGACTCTAGGGTGCAAGGTGACCATGTGTGGTGCTGAGATAGTCGCACCATGGTTTCCATGTGGTTGTGTATGTGGAGTATTTGTCTGTGAGGGAGAGGCATGTCTCCTCTAGACCCCTAATAGTGTCGACTTTTTGTATCCATTCTCGGATGGATGGTGGATGTGGGTGCTTCCATAGTGCTGGAATAAGTTGGTTCGCTGCAGAGATCAGATGTGTCAGTAGGCCTGCTGTCGATTTTGGTATGTTTCGGGGGGTGATCAGGAATAGAAAAAGTTCCGGGGTAAAGGGGACATGGGTAGATAAAATCGACTGTATCGTCCTGTGTATGCGCTTCCAGTAGTGTTGAATCACCGGACAAGACCACCAGATGTGGGCGGTGTTGCCTTCGGGTGCATGACACCTCCAACATTGGTGTGGGTGTGTTGGAAATAGGGATCGTAATTTTGTCGGGGTGTAGTGCCATCTCACTACCCTTTTGTAGTTACTCTCCTGGATTGTGGTGTTTCTAGAGGACCTATGGATATGTGTGAATATGGTGCGCCACGTTTCTGGTGTGAAAGATGTGTTTAGTTCCTTTTCCCAGGACGAGGTAAAGGCCGGTGGATGGTGAGGCATTGTTTTAGTGATCTTTGTGTACATCTCTGAGATGACTTTCTTCTTTAGGGTATGTTCTTTGCAAAGTGTCTCTAATTGAGTGTGAGGACGGACAGGATTATGTGCCAGTGGCCCTGTGAGTAGGAAGTGTGAGAGTTGTTTGCATTGGAACGTTTGCAGTGCAGTGTGACCCTCTGTTGTAGTCTGCAATGGTTTCACCTGAGTTCCCGTGTCGTCCACAACCTCGGCGAGGCGTAGGTAGTGTGAGTCATGGTACTGCTTGAATGCCCTCCCATTCTCTCCCGGTTGAAAGAGAGGGTTGTGTGTTATTGGATATAACGGGGAAGGGTAAGGTGACATTGTCTGGTGAGTCCTTATCTTGGCCCACATTCGTAAGGTTGGTGAGATTGTGGGATGTGGGGAGTGCAATAAAAATGGCAGTCCTGATTTGTGCCATGGTATTGTGAAGATGGGAGTCCTGAAGAAGGTATTTTCTATGTGTATCCATTGTGCTGTAGGGTGTGGGTGCGTCCAGTCATACAGTCTGGTCAGAAGGACTGCTTGGTGATATCTCTCTAGGTCTGGGAGGCCTAGGCCCCCTTCGTCCTTTGGTCGTGTGAGGAGTGAGTAGGCAAGCCTTGGGTTCTTGTGTGCCCAGATGTAAGTCGGAAGGGTTTTCCGGACCGTTGTGAACCATGACTTAGGTAGAGTAATTGGTAATACTTGCATAACATATAGGAGTCGTGGCAAAACATTCATTTTGAGAATGTTCAGCCTGCAGAACCATCCAAAATGAGGTTTGTTCCAGGTGTTGAGATCTGATTGTATGTTTTTCATCAAACTAGGGAAATTACTCTCAAATAGGTGGGATGCCTCTTTGGTTAAGTGAATACCTAGGTATTTTATCGTGCGGGTCGCCCAAACAAATGGGTGTGTTCGTTGTATAATGTCTGCGTCGAGAGGGGAAATGTTTAGCGGCAGTATCTCGCATTTGCTGAGGTTGGCTTTGAAATTGGAAATTTTGCTAAAAGATTCAATTTCTGCCATTAAGTGAGGTATTGACGACACTGGATCCGAGATTGTGAATAGCATGTCATCTGCAAACGCTGCTATATTATGTTCCGTTGTGCCCGTTGTGATGCCTTTAAATCGAGGTTTCGTCTCTAATACCCTGGAGGAAGGGCTCCAGCGCCAGGACAAATAGGAGAGGCGACAGGGGACATCCCTGTCTGGTGCCGTTCCTTATTGCCACTGGCTCTGACAATTGGCCATTGACCCTAATGTGCGCTGTGGGGTGTGAGTATATTGCATTGAACCATTTGAGCCAATTTGGGCCGAACCCCATGTATTGTAAAGTGTGTGATAGCATCGTCCAATCTACCCTGTCAAACGCCTTTTCGGCATCAATGGACAGGAGCAAACTGGGGCATCCATCTCTCGTTGCTTTGTGTATGAGGTTTAGCAGTTTTGTGGTGTTGTGTTTGGCTTCCCTGCCAGGGATGAAACCTGACTGGTCTCCATGTATCAGTCCTGGTAACAGCGGTCTGAGTCTGTTGGCCAGGATTTTTGTGAATAATTTTAAGTCGATATTTATCAAGGAGATCGGTCTGTAACTGCCGCATTGAGTTAAATCTTTCCCTGGTTTAGGAAGTAGCGTAATCGTTGCGTTCAAGGCCTGTGGGGGGAGAGTGTCTGTTTTGAGTAGAGCATTGAACGTGTTTTGGAAGTGGGGTATGAGCAGAGGAGCAAAAGTCTTGTAATATTTAGCAGTGAGTCCGTCAGGGCCTGGACTTTTCCCTAGTGGAAGCTGTTTGATTACTTGGAGGCATTCGTCTGTGGAAATAGGTTTTTCTAGGGATTCTCGTAGATTGTGTGGTAAGGCTTTGTGGATCCTACGAGATAGGAAATCTCGGATATCTGCTGTCGCTGGGGGGCTTTGTCTTAAATTGTATAGCGAGGAGTAAAAATCTTTGAATTCTGCGAGTATGTCAGTCATTGAGTGTGAGAGTTTACCTTCCTTTGTGCGTATGGCCGCTATGAATGTATGTTCCCGTTGTTTCTGTAGTGCATGGGCCAGCAAGCGCCCGCATTTGCCCCCGTGTGTAGTAAGTGCATCTTGTCTTGGCTAGGGAGCGTTTGGTATTGATGTCGAGAATTGTATTTAACTAGGTCCTTTTTTCGATTTGTGTCTTAAATGTGGTGAGGTTGAGACCGTTTTTATGTATTCCCTCTAGGCGCTTAATCTCTCTAGTGAGACTAAGTGTGCGAGATTCCCTCGATTTTTTGAGTCTAGAGGCTGCCTGGATGAACGTACCTCTTATTGTGCTCTTATGTGCTTCCCAAATGATGGGGTAGGTGGATACTGGGTGTGTGTTGAGCTCGAAATACTGTTCCAGGGAGGATTCGGCCTGGTTCCGGATAGTGGTATGGTTAAGTAGGGTATCATTCAGTTTCCACTGTGTCAGAGTGGGATGTAGGGAGGGAATCTGAAGTGAGAGGGAGATTGGTGCGTGATCAGACCACGTGATTGTGTCGTATGTGCAGGAGCGGACTAAGTTCAGAAATCTGTGTGGGAGAAGAAATAAGTCAATTCTCGAATACGAGCCCGAGGAAAATGAGTAATAGGAATAGTCCCGCTCAGCGGGGTGTAGGACGCGCCAACAGTCATAGAGCTGATGCGAGTCCACAAGTTTCTGGACTTGCACCCGTGTTGAGACTTGGTATGTGGAGGCTTGTGAGGTTGTGTCTAATGCGCCATCTAGGGAGATATTGAAGTCGCCTCCTAAAATCAACATGCCTTCAGTAAATTGTATCAGCTGCTTGATTATCTTACGTAGGGCTTGGAATTGTTTCCTATTAGGAAGATATATGTTGGCTAGGGTTATTGGGGTTGTGCCCATCAGGCCCTTCAGAAAGATATATCTCCCATTGTCGTCAGATGTGTGTTCTTTGTATGTGATTGGTAGATGCGGGGAAAGGAGAATCGCCACTCCCCGTGACTTCGAGCCTACATAATTGCTAAAGTATCCCTTTGTGTAGTGTCTGGATTTTAGTGAAGGTGCTGAGTCTTTACGGAAGTGTGTCTCTTGTATGAACACCACTTCCGCTTTTGATTTATGGTAGTCTGTGAGAGCCATGTGGCGCTTTTCGGGGGTATTCAGACCCCTAGCATTGTGTGAGAGTATGGAAATTGTTGCCATGGCTGGAGATTTGGGGGAGGGTAGTGTGTAAAAGGTTACTAGTCGTGTGGGGTGTGTGTTTGTAGTCTATATCTATAGATGTTGCGTGATGCGTACCCTGTATGTATTCGACAGGCCAGGTATAAATTCTTACAACAAAAGGTGTTACAATACTACACAATGTCAATGCGATATACAAATTTTAACAAAACAAGACAAAACAAAACTATATACAATAGATTGTGACGTTAAGTTAACGGTGTTGCTCTTTGGCAACTATAGGAGTATAAATACCTAGGGTCTGCCCCTGAGAAGTCCCGTAGTCTACAGTAGGCAAGGTTGAGATGACCCTGATGTAAGTGGGGGGGGGGGTGAGACTAGGAGCTTGTACACTTTTTTTTTTTAATTAAGTATGATGCAGTGGGCTCCTGGGGCGCTTGGAGCTGAACCGCATCTTGGTTTATTATTGCTTCGTGGAGGTAAGTGTCTTATAAGGCAACAGGGTAGCGTGTGGGTGAGGTCGGCTGACTTTTTTTTTTTATGGGAGAAGGAGGTATGAGTCGCCCCAGTGAGTCCTAATACCTTTCCCTCCTCAGGTTGGGTATCCCCTTCTCTGGACGGTAACGTGTACCGATTTTTAGTATGTCTGGGCTGTGCCGTCTTCTCTGGCCAGTCTTGTCCATGTCTGTCAGTCCCTTTGTCTCCCTAGCGCAAAGCGTTGCATATGTGTACCCCTTGGGCGGGAGATACTTAACCCCATAGTCATATCTAAGCGGGTCACCCCTATAGTAGTAGTGTATGTCAATTTCACAATTACAGAAGGCAAACATAGGTCAAAACATAAGCATGTATACGACCTGAGGTTTCAGCGTCGGCCATAGTGGCCTCTCTTGTGGCATTCGTGATTAATCCCTTTCGGGACCGTGTTGTTGGGGTAAGTCCAAGTCTTGTGGGTGGGCTCTATCGGAGTAGAGGCCAGCGTCTTTATTTTGAAAATCGGACGTGCAGAGAAGGGTATCTTGGGGTTGTTATTAGAGAGTGTCAGTAGAGGCGATTTAGCGTCCAGCAGCTGTGGTCTGTCCTCCTTCTTCTAAGTGTTGAGAAAGTCCAGCCTGGGTCAGACGTTGTCTCTTGGCTGGGGATCTCCATCGTGGTCTTTGCTGTTGAGATGGTGCTGTTAACGCCGGATCAGGAGCATACCAATCCAGGATGGATGTTTCTGCTAGGTTTAATGCTTCGGTGAATGGCACGATGTCCTGGTGTGTAGAGATCGTATATGTGGTTCCGCGGGTGTTTACGATGAGGGCAAAAGGAAAACCCCATCTGTATCGTATGTTGCGCGAACGTAGCTGATCGGTGATTGGCCTTAGGGCTCGTCTTGCTTGCAGCGTGTGCCAAGATAGATCTTGATAGATCTGTATTTCGTGTCCTTGAAATAACAAGGGGCCTGAGGTGTCCCTGAGATGTTTCAAAATATCTGCCTTAAGAGCGTAGTAGTGGATGCGGCAGATAATATCTCTTGGGGCATCGCCGACCGCTGCTTTGGGGCGTAGGGAACGGTGTGCTCTGTCCAGGATGACCGGCGATTCTGGCTTGCGCTTAAGTATAAGATTGAAAAGCGAGGCCAGGACGTTATATAGGTTTTCCCCTTCTGCTTCTGGTATTCCCTTTATACGTAAATTATTTCTCCTGCCCCTATTGTCGATATCGTCTAGAGAGCGTTGCATCATAGATAAATGCCTTTCTTGGGCTTGGACTTTAGCTGATAGGGAATGCATTAATGTGTGGTGAGACCCCCTTTCATCCTCCAGGTCCTGAACTCTGCGGCCTACCTGAGTTATTTCTGAATTGAGGCTTTCCATCTTCTGTTGAAAGGTAGTTTCTAACTTTCCCAGCATCTGAGCTAGGTCAGCTCTGGAGGGCAAATTTCGTAATATGCCTTTAATATCTGCTTCCATCGACACCTGTGATGTGTCTGACGCTGTGGGGCTCGGAGGATCTGAGTCGGCGGTTTGCCGCCGGCGCCATGTTGGATTCCCCGGGGTCCGCCGTGTGGTCGGAATAATCTCTAAATAAGCGGGCCACAGTGCCCGATTTCCCGGCTGGGGTCTTCCCGGAGTGCTGGGGAGCAGGGTGAGCCTTTTTGTGATTGCCCATCGTGGGTTTGTTACCTCCGTTTTCGGCGGTTCTGTCCGTGCTGCTCAGGAGCTGAGCTAGTGTGCTTCCATGTAGCTCGGCTGTCGGCCACGCCCCCCCTACATCGAGGTTTTAATGAGGTTGAGAATCAATTACAGTTCCCATGTTCACTCATATCCAGTGCCCATAGTTAGGTATGTTGTTGTCTCTATTAAGTCGTTGAATTGTGTGAATGTAGTAGACTCGTACAGTCGGGCTAGGCCCGTAAGAGACGGGACAACGAGAGTGGAGTGGAATCCGTATAGTGCCTGAGGTGGTATGTGTGCCTGTGGTGTATTTAAACGAGTGGCATCGGCAGGGATGGGGCAATGTGTATATGTGTGCGGCCACTGTACATAGTCGATGCCCCTGCATTCTCACTGCTCAAGTCTCTGCCATTTAGCAGTTCAAACACTTTGTTTATGCAGCCCTAGTCACACCTCATGTGACTTACACAGCCTTCCTAAACTCTTCCTGTAAAGAGTAATCTAATGTTTACACTTACTTTACTGAAAATTCCGTTTAATTTAGAAATTGTTATCTCCTGCTCGGTTAATAGATTGCTAGGCCCTGCAGGAGCCTCCTCTATGTAATAAAAATTCAATTTGCAGAGTAAGAGATACAAACTTAAGTTACATCTGAATGAAAATTAAACCATTCTGTTTTCATTGAAAGCAAAGTGTCAGCCAGATGACCTATTTTTAAGCAATATGCCAATGGACATCTACCATATATGACCAGAATGAACATCTAACTTAAACAATCTGGTAAACAAGGTTTGAAAGCACAATGAAATCCAAAACATTGCAGTGGTTATTGCTGCTCAATGTGGTAACCATTTTAGAAAAAAAATTAAGTAAACACACACTTTGAAAATGCCCTACTTTGACCTTTCCACATATGCACTTCGTGAATGACCCCGTTGATTAGAAATACCTGTGTTTGCGTACACATTGTATTCCTGTGTCAGCAGATTTAGTTATTTTCTATGCTGCTAGCATATAAGCCTTGCCAGGCAGGCAAGATTGCAGTGTTCAATGAACTAAAATTACTTTTCTCTATGAACTAAATGATATTTCTTTTAGAAGCAATATAACACTTGCTAAGGGTTTACTTTCCCACCTACTATAATTGTGCAAATATTTAAAACTGAATCCATTGGAATGAAGAGGGAGTCCCCACAATGCACATTGGTATTTTTACTGTAAGAACAATTAGTATGTGGAATTCTCTGCTTGAAAAAGTGGTTTTATCAGAGTCCATACAGATGTTCAAACAGCAACTCGATGCATACTTGCAAAAACAGAATATTCAAGGATAAAAAATGTCAATGTAGGGTAATAACTGCTTGATCCAAAGATAAATCTGACTGCCATTCTGGGGTCAAGAAGGAATTTTATTCCCCTAGTTTGTTGCAAAATTAGAAGTGCTTCAAACTGGGTTTTTTGCCTTCTTTTGGATCAACAGCAAAAACAAATGTGAGGAAGGCTGAACTTGATGGACACAAGTCTCTTCATCTGTGTAACTATGTAACTTCCATGGCAGACAATAGCTTTGTGGAGATTTTAATTCTGCCTTCTGATTTGAGATACCCCAATCATTTAGAGAACGTTAAAATGTTTGCTGCAATGGACACAATTCCCCAAAAGTAAAAAAAACAAAATCACAGAAGTAGACGTGTGATTAGTGTTTGCTGCTTATCAGCTAATTTTAACAGAATTTAATGAATTTATGACTTAAGGGCTACCTTACCCAGGGTCACCGTAGTAATCCTTGTACTATTGAACCGAACAACCAGATTACATGCAAGTGGCAGCAGACTGAATAGCTTACAGAAAGGAAGGAAATAATTATTTTTTTCTCTCATTGAACTAGTTGCTGATGTTGTAGATATGAATAGACTGAAATCAGAATCCCACTGTCTCATAACAAGCAGAACTCAAAAACCCATATAAAGTGTGCTTTCAGGTTTAATGCAGTCTCACGGAGGAATGTCCCAAAAACTATCACAGTGGAGTGCCCATTGGCCCTTTCTTACAGAGCATGTTTTCTTAATGTCCATGGTCCAATAAGGAAATTCTTAATTGCCATTCCAAAGGGTCCTCATATTTAAACCTAATTAATGATGTTCAGACAGCCAAAGAGGATTTATATGTTTTCCACCAACATTTGATGGGCCACAGCTAGACATCACTGCTCTAGACTAATCATTTTATTTCTATGGTCTAGACTGTCCTCATTTAATCATAATCTAATATTATATTAGTTCAAATTCTGTGCTTTCCCTGCTTAACAAAATTTCATCGAGTCTACTCCCCAGTTGCGTGTATGCAAGTCCCTCTATTCCATAGTACAAGGATTACTGTAATGAGCAGCAATTTAGATTAGCGAGCCCTTAAGTCATAAATTCATTAAGTTCTATTAAAATCCACTGATAAGTAGTAAACCCTTTACATACTGTACATTTCTTGTTGCGTGTTCCCCAGTGTTTTTTGTGTGTTTTTTTATACTATTACTGTGTTTTTCTTGTTTGCTTCTCTGGTCAGAAAAAAATAAAATAAAAAAAAATTAAGCATAAAGAGGTCTTTAAGTAAATATTGATGCACATTCGATAGATCATATTTGCTGAAGCAAGATTTTCCAGAATATTGGAAAAAAATCTACTCTTTAAAGATATATTATAGATGTAACATTTTATTGAAGAAACACTCAAAGCACCATAACCACTAAAGACTCCCATTTATACCTCCCAGAGTAAGTAGTCAAATTGTTTAGGAGCGCAGGGGAATGGGGACCACAGGTATCTAATGGGACTTTGATAAATTGTAAAACCATTTTAGGAATGGTTTTACAACTTATCTGACTACTTGCCCTAGGAGGGTGCCTGGGCAGACTGTAGTGGTTATGGTGCGGTGTGTGTGCGTGACGGTGTTTGACTAGGTGACAGAATATGAGTGACATAGTATGTATGTGTGTGTGATTTCATGCATGTGTGTGTGATTCCATGCATGTACGTGTACCTGTGTCTAGGTATATGTATATGTTTACCTATAATTGTATAAATATATTGTGACTGTGCATGGAAGAGTTTGTATATATACTTGCATGCCACTGTATGTATGTGGGGGCCAAAAACCTAGAAACATAGAATGTGATGGCAGATAAGAACCATTCGGCCCATCTAGTCTGCCCAATGCACACCCATCCCCCACTTCTGAAAGGGTGAGAGTGTGAGGAAACAGATCAGAAGTCGGGGGATGGGTTAAGAGACACATATGAAACAAGAAGTATTGTGGGTTATAAAAAGGGGAAGGAAAAAAAAAAAACAAAAAAAAAAACCACACAAAAAATAAAAACCACTGTCAAATGATTAATCTACAAAAGTGACCATTAAACGTTGCATTGCTTTTATTATATAAACGCTAGAATTCAGAACCTGGAAAAACAAATCAGAGTACAAATTATGTGTGCTAAAAACAACAAGGTAAGTGCCACTTTTAAAGGAAATTCAAGACTTAAAATATGCGTGATGGTAATAAACAGCAATGCAAAAATGGTCTATATGACAAACATGACACTATTCTTTATGGAACTAGTCATGATATTTGAGGAAGAGGTTTGTAATGACAAGTTTTCAGGAGTTTTCCTCCCTTTAACAAGTCTATTAGTCCAATAAAAAGGGGATTACACAAAACAAATTCTTCATTATTACGCATGAAACTATTATTTATCCATGAAATGGCAACATTAGGTAAACAGTAGCTACATTGGCTGGGAGGGGGGTCACATGTTGGGTTGTTCCTTTTTAGCAAGGGCCTGTGCTAATGGTAGCACACATTTCATGAGCACTCAGCAGGGAATCAGGCATATAACAGTTGGTAGATTGACACTATAGGCACCCAGAACTCCCCATCCCATTGAAGTTCAGTATTCCTGTCCCCTTAACCATTAGAGAAACTCCAATGTGTACATTGCAGAGTTAAGACTGCCTCTGGTGGCTGTCTTCAAATAGCCACAAGGTTCTTCCTCGATTCACATGCAGTTTAAAAACGCTGGACATCCTCCCGCCAGGCATCTTGAAAATCTCCATAGGAAAGCACTGAATCAAGGTTTTCCCCATGTGTAAACTCGAATACATTTGTGGCAAGCTAGGCGGTGGGGGTGCAGAGGGACACTAGCGTTAGGAATACAGTTTTGTATTCCAACAACACTATAGTGCTCCTTTATCTTGTTCATACGTCAGTGGGTTTTTATTCAAAATGATTAATATCTGCTTTCTTTACGGAGGCCTGGTATTATTGGTATTTATATAGTGCCAACTAATTCTGCAGCGCTGTATAATATTATGAAATGGGGGGAAATTTACAAAAAAGTTAGACATTTACACAGTGACACAATAGGTAGATGAGGGCCCTGCTCAAATTAGCTTACAGTCTAGAGGTGGGGTACAAATACACAACAGGGCAGCAAGGGTGACATCCACCAAACAAGGTGAAAAAATAGAAAAGAGTATGGCTCTTCAGGAGATAGCAAGAGTTCATAAGCATTTCTGAACAGATGTATTTTTAGGGACTTTTTAAAGCAACTGAAGACTAGGGGAGAGTCTGCTGGGGTAGGCAGGCTGTTCCAAAGAAAGGGAGCCGCCTGCAAGAAGTCCTGCAAGCGCAAGTTAACAGTAAGGGTGCAAGCAGCAGATAGGAGAAGGTCACCGGAAGAGCAGAGAGACTGACAAGGGGCATATCTATGTATCAGTGAAGAAATTTAAAAGAGGCTAGAGTTTTATAGGCAAGGGATAGTATTTTGAATTGACACCTATAGGATACAGGAAGCCAGTTTAAGGATCGACAGATGGGTGAGGTATGGGAGGAGCGAGGGGTGAGAAAGATCAGCCTGGTGGCAGCATTCATTGCGGATTGTAGCGGGGCAGTTTGGCTTTTGGGGGGGACCAACTAAGAGGGAATTACAGTAATCCATGCAAGAGATTACCAGAGCATGAACAAGCTCCTTGGCAGCATCTTGCATGATTAAAGGTGGAATGGACACGTTTTAGCAACATTCTGGATATGAGGTGCAAAGGTGAGGGATCAAAGATAACACCAAGACAACAAGCTTCCAAGGATGGACTGATGCAAGTATCAACTTGCAGGGAACATGGAGGAAGATCAGCATTTTGAGGGGGGAAAAGACAAGAAGCGAAGTTGTAGAGAGACAGTTACAGAAAGCAGGAAGACATCCTATCAGAGATTGAAGAAAGACAAGCAGTGACATGTTGTAGGACCGTGGAGGAGAGATCAGGGGAGGAGAGATATATCTGGGTGTAGTCGGCATACAGATGGTAGCAGAATACAAAGGAGTTAATGAGTTTGCCAAGAGAGGAAGTATAAAGGGAGAACAGAAGGGGACCAAGAACAGATCCTTGGGACGAGAGGAGGAGGTGTCATTGCAAATGGAGACACTGAACGAACGTTGGGAGAGCTAGGAGGAGAACCACAAGAGGACAGTGTCACAGAGACTGAGGGATTGAAGAGTTTGGAGAAGGAGCACATTATCAATGTCAAAGGCTACAGAGAGGTCAAGAAGAATTAGTATGGAGCAATAGCCTTTGGATTTAACTGCGATTAGGTCATTGTGCCTCATAACGAGGTTCCTCCTTCATACAGACTTAAGACCAAATGCCTGTCCTATAAGATATCAATTTTTCTACCTTGATGTGCAGTTTAAAATACAGTGGCATTGTTTACATGTTTAAGCAAGAACAGCATGTGTTCATTATAGGGATTAGTTTTATTGGACTAAAAAAAATGTGCTTCATATGGATTTTTCCAACATGTCACCATTCAGAAATAGTTAAAGAGACACTTACAAACAAAAAAACCAACCCTTCAATAGAAACAAAGTCTGCCCACATGATTTAGTGCAGCTAAAAAGTCTCATCTGTGCCACACTGTTCTCTAAACAAGTGTTTCCACATGTTCTGAATGGCTCCATTAATGTGCATGGAACGCCTTTCACCAACAAGTACTGTAGCTTTCACTGTTAACCTGGAAGTTAAAGAATGCTTCTATTGTTCATAACAGCTTACGCCATTAAAAGATCTGATGCTAGGAGTAAATGGGGAAAAAAAATTAAATAAAAACAACAAAAACACCACGTGTGTTAAACCATGATAGTCATGTTAGGAAGGGGTGATATCCTGCAACATGCAAGGCTGTAAAATGATAAACTTACAGGATGCAGGTCTAGAAAGAGAGAATGCAGCTCTCCATTGGGATGCAGCCCATCCACAGCCTCCACAAAACCAGGGTCTGCATTGTAAAAATGAGGGAAAGACAGGAACAGAGGCGCATCTGGATGAAAAACAGAAAGGCACTTTAGACTATTAATCCTGGCAGTTAACCATATAAACATTTGAATGTTATCTATATATAAAAAAAACAAAAAACAAAAAAAAACACAACAACATTCTGAAACCTTAATAAGAGAATAAACATTTAAAAAAAAAAAAAAAAAAAATGAATCGGGGGAGGTAATTACACTTAACCGCTGTAGTTTTAGTGGAAAAAAAAAAAAATACGTAGAATGCATGTCAGAGAACTGATCCTTTGTAAATGCTCCTTCTGTCCCATGCTCTGAGTCACATTATTTGAGAGTACACAAGTGTGCCACTTCATGCTATAATGAACAGACCACTGAACGCGGGCTAGTTGCTCCGTGCAGATTTGTATGATCACAATGATTCTTTCACCAAGTCATGTCAGAACTTATTAAAATACACTATATGAATGCATTATGAATGGTTACAAAGTCCCGTCATAAAGACTACTTTAACCCCTCCTTACATAGGTTAAGCATTTGCAAAGCACAGCTCATTACTCTGGCACCCAGCGTGTTGAACAGAGCTACCTGAAAATATACTAAAACTAGAAGGCTAGTGTTAAATACAAAGTCTGTATGTTATGCAAAAAAAAAAAAAAAAACACAATTCTTTATGGCTTGATCCTTTAGGAATGGTGCACAGTGTTTATTAAATATAATCATTATCAGTTCAGTGGACAAGGATTACTTTATATAAATAGACACAAACAGATGTTTAACATGTTCATGTCATTTGGCTTGTCACATATTGTCAAAATTAATGTCACAAACAAGTTAAAGACACACTCCAAGCACCATAACCACTATAGTGTGCTTCTTAAAGGATCACTATAGGGTCAGGAACACAAACATGTATTCCTGACCCTATAGTGTTAACACCACCATCTAGCTCCCCCGGGGCCCTCATGCCTCCATAAATATAGTAAAAATCTTACTGTATTCAAGCTTGAAGCTATAACTCTGCATGCGGTTAGACTCAGAAAAACAAGCAGTCTGCTGACATCATCAGGAGTGGTAGCCTGATCGAATCACAGTGCTTCCCCATAGGATTGGCTGAGACTGACAAGGAGGCAGATCAGGGGCAGAGCCAGCATGATTCAAAACACAGCCCTGGCCAATCAGCATCTCCTCATTTAGCTGAATTGAATCAATGAATCTCTATGAGGAAAGTTCAGTTTCTGCATGCAGACGGAGGAGACACTGAATGTTTGGATGCAATTTAGGCAGCCATGACCCAGGAAGGATCTCTAACAGTCATCTGAGGAGTGGCCACTGAAGTTATCACTAGGCTGTAATGTAAACACTGCATTTTCTCTGAAAAGACAGTGTTTAGAGCAAAAAGCTTGAAGGTAATGATTCTACGTACCAGAACAAATTCAATATGCTGTAGTTCTACTTACTATAGTGTCCCTTTAACCCCTTAAGGACCAAACTTCTGGAATAAAAGGGAATCATGGCATTTCACACATGCCATGTGTTCTTAAGGGGTTAAAGAATGTACATACACAAAAGTAAGCAGGCACTTGCAGAGAGGACTTCCTGAGTGCAGCAAGCCCAAGGTATACTTCCCTTACAGACAACAGTAGAAAGGACAGTTCACAAAGTCCGTAACGTAGTCCAAGGCAGATTTATTAGCGAAGAAAAATCACAACGTTTCGGCTCACATTGCAGCTTGATAAAGGCTCCTTTGTGAACCGAAAGCCTTGCGTTTGTTCTTCTCCAATAAATCTGCCTAGGATGACAATCCTGACTTTGTGAACACTTGCATCCCTAATCTATGGAGTCAAACCATTTTAGAATGTTTGATAGTTTTATCCATTTCTAAGAATAACTTTTATCCTCATACAACAGGTAACAATTCAAGGAGTTGTTACTTTAATATAATATAATGGGACCGCTTTCTAGTATCAAAAGCTCTTTAAAAAGCTATAGTGCTTGAAGTAAGTGTCCCTTAAAGTAACAACTCCTTGAATATATATACACACACACACACACACACACACAAATGTAAAGAGAACGGTTTTGGTACTGAAGGAGGTGATAAAGATTATACATACTGAATCGGCAAGAGCTCATGTTCTGCACTCCGGAAGCCAAACAAGGACAAAATCCAGCATTTGGAGGATAGTCTGTTCCATTTGCAAAGAGATAATCTGGGGCACTATAACGATAAGTGGGTATTCCTCTGAATTCCGATTCCTCTTTATACACAAATGTCAGAGACCTGTGATAAAAATAAAAATATATTTAAACAAACAAACACAAACCCCCAAATGTTTAGGCTTTAGGAGTCTCTTTGCATACACACGTTAATAAATATAAATAACTAGATTCATAGAATCCTTGCACTCAGGCAAAACTATATTCCTTCAAATTGCTGGATGTCAGTCCAAGAGGCATGTAATTATTAGCAAATGTAATTATTAAAACAAGTTCCTCCCCTCCCCTATCAAATAATGTCTAGAGATCTATCCCAGATGTGAGTGACAAGAGAAGAGGAGGAGAACCCACCTTCACGTGGTTCTCATGCTCAGCTACTATTTATATCCCTCTGGCGAGTATGCCTTCTGCTTTGAAAGTTAAATCTAACAGCGTGACAAAAGAACTGGCATTGCATCAACATGTAACACATTTAATCAGGAAAGACAAGAATAGTCAGCTAAGCTCCTTAAGAGTAGACATACTGATGGATTCAGAGTCCTAAAATAAAATAACTTTTGCCCCCTTTCCCCTCCCCACTAAAAAATAAAATCTGCTCATAAAGAGGTTTGAGTGGTAGGTTGTGTGCAATACAAATAAGGCGTGCGCACACACACACAAATAAATATTTACCACCATGGAGGTGTCCATGTTGTGTTGTTACAACATGGAATTCAAGTTTTATTGGGATCATTACCATTAAAAACCAAACACAACACACCCACCACTTGTTTTTCATTTATGACTAATAAATTATTTATCACGTCAGACATATAAATGAACCGATGCAACCAACAGGCAGCCATTTGCCAAAATAAGCCATTTGTAAAGGCAGGCTGGCCACTGAATAGTTGGCAGATACCCTAGAAGTAGGGGAAGCTATAGACCATGGTTCCCATCCAGGAAAGCTCTAGGTTGGGAATCTTGTGTATTTCTAGGTCAATCCAAGCGAGACAGCAGATGCTCAACACTATGTTGCAAAGCGGTCAGCATGCTGCCTTCTCTCCCTCTGTGTTTGCTATACAAGGTGAGGCTTGAGGTCATGGCCCTGTGACCAGTGGTGTAGTGTAGGATTTGTGCTGCCCTACGCACGACTAATTTTGGAACCCCCTTATCTAAAATTTGCCCCACCAATTCGTGTCAAGGCCTTTTCTTTGCCTGACAGACACACACATACTTTCTCATACACTCACCAATTAATATTTTTTTTAATCTAAAATGACATATCTCCCTCATCACCCCGACTAGAATATTAGTACTTTAACACCTAGGGGGGCCCTAAGGTGGCAGCCAGCTCTTGCCCCCCCCCCCCAGTACACAAGGCATTTACCTGGGGCAGTGTTTTTTGCCACCCCCCTGAAACTGAGGCACTAGGCAAATGCCTTGTGGTAAATACACCCCTGCCTGTGACAGCTACTGCCCTCACCCCTTCCCCTGAACATAGTACTTTCCCAGGTGTGGCAAATACAGTCCTCCATGTGTCATTATAAAAGTGGGACTCCACAGACGAGAGACCCAAAGTGCAGCCTCAGGATGGGAACTGGTAATTAGTAGTCTAGTGTGTTTGTAGGGAGAGTATTTTACACAATATTATGGGGGGGGGTAAGGGGGGTACCATGGAGCAGGATAATCATACCACAAGATGGGACCATTCTGAGTTGGGAGGCTATATAGCGATTGTATAGCTGTGTGTGCACGCATCTAGAGCTATTATTTCCCCAGCCTGGCAATACTAAATGGAGTCAAAAAGGGCAATTGGACTTTTGCAGTATTTCAAAATAAAAGCACAGATTTCTGGTGCATCCCATAGTTTGTTATAAGGCATGGCTCCCAATCTTTGATTTTAAAGGCGCTTTGGAGGGTTTTTTCCAGTTTAATTTAAAGAGAGTGAGCAAAAAATAAATAAATATAAAAAACAAAGCAAAAAACATTGGAGTTGGAGGTGCAGTTTATAAAACCAGTCGGATTTATTTTTCATCTGACATGATTATGCAAAAGAGACCAAAACACACAATGCATTTTATTCTCTGCGTCAACCTTCTGGCTTATGAGCCAATAGAACAAGGGGAGGGTGAGTTTACATTCAGATAATATTTGCAGATTTAGTAATTTGTCTACACTGTGCATTGGTTACTTGGTGATCGATAAACCGCTATGCCCTGGAGAAGTCTTTAGTGTGTCAAATGTCACATCACAGAAAAACAGTAGTCACAGAGGAAACATTTTATTTTTTGAAAGGATAAAAAAAAAAATTTCACAAAAAAAAAAAAACTATCAACAAAAGAATCAGAACACTCAAAAGAGAGTAAAGTCCAGATTTCATTTACTTAAGATCTCTGCAATTTTAAATTCACTATTTTAAAGAGGGAGTGTAAAAAAAAAAAAAAAAAGTTATTGCATAGAATACTTGTTTATTCGGTTTTTTTTTTCTTCGTTATTTTCGGATTTTGAGTTCCTATTCCATGAGTTGAAGATCAAGAGAAATGATTCAGGAGACAAACATGGAGTGACATGTTGCCCTTTATGGTCCTAAAGATTGCATGGCAGACTTTTTTTTTTTATGGTCGATGGTCAATATTGTACATCCATGCAAGTCCTGATCAAATTGTTCTCCTACTTGCACTGAGAGGGCATTAGAGCAATTCTGACACCATAACCATTACATAAATTGTGGTTAGGGTGCTTGACATTTCCTCTAATGAGCTGAGGAGGCTACTGGGACCTACTAGGTCATTTTACCTGATATACAACTCCTTCCAGGGATCAGTCTCATTTCCCTCGTAAGAGCCTGCCTGTTGATAAGCTCGTTGGGGCTCTGCTTAGGAGTTTTCCTTTCAGCATTACAAACTACAAATTACTTGCCTGGAAATCCCGCTATGCAAATTAAAGCCCATAGCCTGTTTTAATATGAGCTACGGCTTGGCAATCCCAATACCGCTGAACGACTGTGCCATAGATTTGAAATTTGTAACTACAGTTAGAGCTACCAGAAGGATAGCGATTTAGCCCACAATGATAAGTGCCCTCTAACACACAGTGCAGGATTGTAAGACTATATATGCAGCTCTTCGTTAGCTGACTATTTAGTCACTTATCTGCTAATGATGATTTGAGGATTTACTCCATATAACTGTGAGAGATAACAAAGCCCTCTTCTATTTAGTGATTAATAAGATCCCCTTGTCCAAAAACACAGATTACACCATTATTATTTTTTTTAATCCTTCTCTTTAGATTCTTTTCCTATTGTCCTCTCTTCGTCCCTAGGTCTCTGCGCTCCTTGAAAGCCTTGTTACACTTTACTTACAGACTGAACGCCAACTCATAATTTGAAACAATTTTCGCCTACACACCATTCTCCCCCAGGATGCAACCAAAATGCTTTTCCATGCGCTTATTGTTCCCCACCTTGAGTATTGTAACCCTTTGCTTGTTGGCCTGAAAAAAAGAACCAAGATTTCCCTTCTACAGTCCATAATGAATGACTACCAGACTCATCCTCCATGTGTCCTGGAACTCTCAAATCTCACCCAAGTCTCTCCTTACCTACGATGCTCTCCATAACTTTGCCCTTTCCTATATCTCCACCACCATGAGAAGATATGGTCTCTTTGCTCCATCAGCAATCTCTGATCACATTCTTGTTACCTCCACCATAGACTCAACATGCATGAGTTCAACAGGTTTGAACTCCTGCCTTTAGAGAAATCAGCCAACATCTCATGCCTTAAAACCTCTCTCTGCTGTCTCCTGTGCTCCCTCCTCTCAAACACCTCTCATTCTTTCAGGTACACACATACCATTTGATTCCCTTGTGATTGTAGACCAGCCAAAACAATACTTACTATTGCAAGCCCAGAAGGCCATGGCACATCACCAGGGATGATCTGTCACTTACCAATTGCTAGAGAGCAAGGGATAATTTTGAGACCTGGATATCAGTATAGCCATGATATAGAATTTGCTTACCCTTTTTTCCTGAACTATTTAAAGGGACACTATAGGCACCCAGACCATTTCAGCTAATTAAAGTGGTCTGGGTTCAATGTCCGTTTTGTACTTAGTGCTGCAATGTTAAACATTGCAGTTCCAGAAAAAACAGCAATGTTTATATTGCAGCTCTAAGTCTGCCCTCAGTGGCGGTCTACCAGATGGCTTCCTGAATTGAAACAGATCTTTGGTTCGGTATCTGATGCTGATGTCCTAGCGCTCTGCACGAGGAAATACAGCATTTGCTGTACATGCGCATTAGTGCCTGCTCGTCTTGGGCCTGGAGTAAATAAAGGTTTTGGGTTTTTTTTAACCAGAGGAAGCTATGGTGCCAGGAATACAGCTTTGTATTCCTGGTACTATAGTAGCCCTTTCAGGATATCTTTACTTTCCTATCCTTGCTAGTGTGATCTCAGATTGTTACAACAACATCTACATCTTAAAACTACAGTAATAGGTGAACCTAACAGTATTGACTGTTCCCATTTCCACTGCAGTACTATTGATTCAGAGATAGCAATTAAAACGGCTAATGGGCCAACCTCCATCACGTTATCTTATTGGCATCATCACTAAAAAATGTACATGTTCCATAAAACCTTGAGATTTGTTTTGGTTTTGAAGGATACCAAAATGGAGCACCCACTTGACATTTGAATGGCTTACGCAAGCATTACTACAGCCAGTGTCTGCATCAAGGTCAAATATAATCTAACATAAAATTGCTACAAGCCAAAGCATTCTGTATTCAAAGATATTCAGAGAAAGGCAGATTTGATTTTATGTCAGTAGGACAAGTTATGTTGAAGAGACCCCATTACCTGCAGGCATCTGGGCTATAAAACTGAAGTGGTTCGGAGGGCTTCCTGAAAGGTGGCCACATCTGGCCAGCAGTCCCATTGATCATATTAGTTTGATTAGAATGCCAAAAATCAACCTAAAAAAATAAATAAAAAAGTCACATTTAGAACAGTTCAATTAAGGATCAAGCGATCCATATACAAGTCCCAAAATTAATAAAAACGTCAATATAATGCCACAGTAGCAGAGCTGAAAATACACTTAGAATTTTTCCCAGTGTATCAAATTTGACTTTAAATTTGAAATTCACTTTGAATTCTCATTTTAGTAAATAAGCCATAAAGCCATTTTTGCAGTGTTACATTAAAACTTACTTTTATGTCACATCTGGCATAAAGCAGGAACAGCATGATGTAAGACACAAGCAACCTCAGAGTACAATGGGATAAATCCAGATACAGAGTCTACAGAGCAACCATTAGGTGCAGACAATTTGCATTACAGTGCAGCTATAGTTCGATCACAGGAATGTCCTAGTTCAAGCATCACCCTGTAGCATGGGTTCCCAATTAATTTTTCCCATGGAATCCTTTGACACAGTGTTCCAAAATCATAGCGGTCACTTCCTCCCAGCATCTGATACTACAGAGGAGCAGCCCCCTGTTCAGCGATACCAACCGGGTTGCCTTAGTGCTTGGGCCACCTGATGGGCAAATCACAGCGGAATCCCAACTTTATTCTCGCAGAACCCTAGGTTTCCATGGAACACCAATTGGGCAACACTGCCGTATAGCTATGGTCTGAATTTAAGGGGCACTAAGCAAAAATGACTGTTCAATGATATGGCTTTAGTGTATAGATCATGCCCTTGCAGTTTTACTGTTGAATTATCTGCCATTTAGGAATTAAATCACTATTTAAGGAGCCCTTGTCACACATCCCTACACCCTTCCTTAACGTCTAAATGGTTTTACACTTCCCCTATTAACAGACAGGAGATAAGTACTTCTAAAGAGAAAAAAACTCTGCGTATTGAAAACAAAAATAAATTTTTTCTTGAGGCTGTGGGATTCATAGAGGAGGTTTGGGTAGGGCTCCATAAACCGAAACATCAGTGATTTTACTCTTTAATGGCAGTTAATTAAGTAGCAAGTCTGCAAGGATATGGCCTGTACAACAAAACTGCTTTATTAAGCCAATCTTGTTTTGGTTCTTACAATGTCTATTGTGTGATGTTAAAATCATACATCAAGTTTGGCTCTTGTATGCACACCCCAAGCTATATGGATGTGAGAGACCAGGCTCAAAACAGGCAGGATGGAACATTATACATTACAGCTGTTCTTGCCTGGCCTGTACATTTCCAAGATGGGACCTGTAAACAGCAGTCCTGTTTGCTCCCAAGTTCTAGTGATACCATTAGAATAGTTTAATTTACATCCAATGCCATGTTTTACTCTTGCAGAATTACCAACAGTACTGCACGTGCATTGCTGGTTAATTAAGGATTGAGCTTGCCTATTTATGCCAGACTCAACATGCCACGACAGGTAATTTGGAAGTCTTTCTTAAAACAAAATAATGCATCAGTGAGGTCAGAGCACCCAGATTATAAACCACTAGAACTCCCAGAGAGAGTGAGCTGGACAGAGGGATTTTATATAGACTGCGCACAATAACAAAAAACAAACAACAACAACAACAACATCTGATACAGATACCATTCCATAGCATCTGGTTAAGTACGAGAAAAGAAGTAGAGAATAAATTGGCATTAGAAATAAAATATCAGAAAATAAGGACACAAATTATTGGAAAAAAAAACAAAAACAAAAAAAAAAAAAAAACACACCATACCTCTGTAAGCCCATTCCATGTATCAATCATTTGTACTTTGGTAATGTCTTTTATTCCTGTGTTCACAGTAAATACACCAGTATTTGAATTGTTGAACTAGAATAAAATAAATAAATAAAAGTGATTAACAACATTTTGTCACGCTGCATAAAAAAAATACTACACAGGGGAAATGTGTATGAAGGTAGCGAATATTTGCTCAAACTTTCCTGCACAATCGGTCACTGCTGGAGCCTAGGAATACTGGTAATTATTAACAAACATTCATGGATTCCTTCATATTGGAGTTTGCAAAATGGCTTAAATTCTAGAGACCTTTTGGAATAGCGCATCTTGTTTACCCATCACAAAAGCCTAAAACTTAAATTAGATGTTTCAAGTAGTGGTTAACACTACATTCATTGTACAATAAAGGTTATAAACACAGACTACCTAAGCATTCCTATCTGGAGCCAATTAAGCATCATTCACTTGTAATTCCACCAGTAAGGAGTCAAAGACACTATCCAATCAAAAGGAGTTTGTTACTTATTTTAAAAACAGCTCGTGGTTGCACCCACCTGACTGTTTTCAAATCTGTTAAGATAAATTCATTATGGTGATCTATCCACCCAGGGCATTTTTGCCGCCCCATTTGCTTCACCCAATCATGCAGACCAACATATGCTGACTCAAGTAGACACACACGCACTAACCCATGTACACTGATGCACACAGACTCATATACACATACTGGCCTATGCACACACACACACACACAATGACCCAGACAGACAGACAAACATACTGACTGAAGCAGACTAATCCACATTCTCTGACATACCTTACCGTCATTGCCTGTGCCTGGCTGCCCATCACATCCTTTCTCTGCATATTTACCTGTTCCTGTTATGCTCCCGCCCACTTTTCCCCACGTACAGAGGAATTAAAGCACCCGCGCACTGCCACTGCAATGGATGCCTGGGAGGGACCAGTCTCTTAGGGATGTTGAGTATGCCGCTGGACGGGTATGCTACCGGGCGCTAGTCAGCAACAATGTAAGTGCTTCCGAGGGCCCGGTAAAATGGCTGGCGGCATACCCAGAATAATCTAAGTTGATGGAGGGGCGGCCGCAGCACAAACATATAGCCAGGGCCGGCCCTGTGTCCACCTTAGATGAAAGTAATCTGTCACTTTTTGTTCATACTTCTACCCTTTGTGTCACTATACCCCACTCCCTTTAGCATGTAAGCTCATTGAGCAGGGCCCTCAAACCCTCTGTTCCTGTGCGTCCATTTGTCTGGTTACAATTACGTATCTGTTAGTTCACCCATTGTTCAGCACTACGGAATTTGCTGGCGCTATATAAATAAAATAATTGGAAAGTTATATTCGGATTTACATGTCAAACCAGATTATAGGGTTATAAATAAACTCCAATAAATTAACATATTATAACAAGTCCACAAGTATTTCACAATTATATGAAATCGCAATTTCTATATAAAAATTCTCAATTTGATAAGCCTACTCCAATGTCGAATAGAGATGCAAAGAATGTACAGCATAGCAACAGCACTATCATCCTTTAGAAACAATGCTCAGTTGTTTTTCGCTTTCATACTGCAAAGGAAGAGTTACAGTAAATGCATTCCAGTTTGTGGCAGATTAAGACAATTTATTAACTAATTAACATTTAACATGGAACACAGATAACTGGTGAAGTGCCTTTTTTCAGTAGAGCTCCTTTCCAGCTCTAGGATAACATGTCTAAAAAGCAGAAAATAAATACATACATTCATAAATAAAAAAAACACACAAGCTAACAAACCACAAACTTATTTTATACTTACATCTGAAAATAAGCCAAATTTGTCTTTGAAAGGAAGTTTGCCAGGCAGAATCATATTTATAAAATCCAAAAATGGATCTTCGTAGCCCCATAATATTTCTTTTACTGTACGGTTCATGAAGGGTTCCTCATTAAAAGTTGCAAATGCACCGCTGATAATCCATTTAATGGGAAGAGACAAATCTTTAACCATTATTGATGAAGCCTGATGGTTGACAAAAAGGAGAAAAAAAAAATATATATCTCAAAATCAAAAACAATTATTCCAATCATAGTCGCATTTGAAGGTTCAGTTTGTCCAGTTTGAATGAAATACAGAATGAGTTAAAAGCAAACTACCATTAATGTTATATTTATTACACAAATTTGCCAGCTTACTTCTGAAAATCTTTGCAGAAAGTTCTCTGCAATGGTTGTAGGGGTGGCCTGTATAAAGTGCAACGTACAATCACCTGTAGTATATTTGCAAATTGCTGCAGTTAGAAGAGAAATGCCAACTGGCCCTTGTACGTTTTTTTTATCCAAGTATAAATAAAATCTGAATAATTTAATTGTATATAGACAGCTTATAGCTTGCCTTTAAAACTGGAAAAACCTAAAATGTGACCTACATAAAAATGAGTCCTGTGGTATAGACTACGTAACCTAACTCAGCGGAAACGCTTACCAAAAGAATAATGTTTGGGACTATCATATAGTCATCTTCTGAGCCTACAGATTTGTCAGGTGCAAAGAAAAATGTACGATTTTCTATGAATGTGACCGTTCCATTATCATGAAAAGTGAGGTTGGTCTTTTGCTTGTACTCCCTGAAAGAAAAACAAATGGTGATTATATTAACAGATCATGCTTCTGTCATAGAGAACAAAACTGACATTTAAGACATTTTTGATCTAACCAGACCTGAATAGTCCATTATAAAGAATACATAACTAACAGAATGCAAGTCAGTAACCATCAAGATATTTTTACAAGATAGATGGACAGACTGACAGTGGTTCAAGGCAAATCAGTAGTCTGGTCAGCCAATGGAGATCAAAATGCATCAAAAAGTTTCCACCAACATCTGCTGTACCAGCCAAGGAGACCAGACATTGTAAGGAGTCGGACGTCAACAAAAGTCATTCAGAGCGTTCTAGGTCATGTCAATAATAATCTATCATTTTTACCAAGGATTACAGATGTTTTTCAACTTGCACCAAGGATCTGAATTCTGTTTGACCTTCGTTCCTGCTTCGTAGAAAACCGTTCGTACAGATTTTTTATTTTTTTTAAATTGTGAAACATTTAAAATGCAAGGATTTTGTCTCGCTGCTGTGGATTTACACTGATAATTTACATTTAGCAGAATTAAAGTCCATTTTAGGACATTGTCACATATTTGATTTCTGAAAATCCAAGTGATATCAAAACGGTCATAAATCAAATGGTTGTTAGAGTTAAATCAATACCTGTAGGAATCACCCACGTTACAATGAATATTCTGTACAGTATCCTTGTCTGATATCTTTATCAAGATGCCCAGACACATTTGTTATTTTTAGCTAAACTTGCAGTTATAACAATGTAACATCCACAACAAGAGGACAGTGTCTTAAATTAGAGGGACAAAAGGTTTAAAAATAATATCAGGAAGTATTACTTTACTGAGAGAGTAGTGGATGCATGGAATAGCCTTCCAGCTGAAGTGGTAGAGGATATCACAGTAAAGGAGTTTAAGCATGCCTGGATTAGGCATAAGGCTATCCTAACTATAAGATAAGGCTAGGGACTAATGAAAGTATTTAGAAAATTGGGCAGACTAGATGGGCCGAATGGTTCTTATCTGCCATCACATTCTATGTTTCTATGTTTGTATGTAATGGTTTAAAAGCAAAGGTATCCTTTAACAGGTTTACTACATAAGGTTTGGACCATTACCAAGGTATGGTTGATTGGCTACTTGTTTTATTTATTTGGATTTTAATGTTATTATTTAAAATAAATAAAAATGAAGTATTCAAGAAAACCTCACATTATGGAAACAACGATCATTAAACCATTCTATAGACTATCGTACCTGTAAACATATGGGCCTCGTTCCCGGACTCTTGGTTTCTCCCCGAGAACAACTTCTTTGTGGTTTACAACTTCAAAGATGTAAATAGACATGTAGAAAGGAACTGGGAGGTCCCGCCACATCTCAAAAGCAAACCCGCTAGAGGGATCGATACGGACATTCTGTAGCAGGGAAAGAAAATGCAAACAGGATTAAAAATTCAAGAATAAACTAAGTTTATTTGCATCAAGCCTTTAACAACTACATTTTATAGAAAACAAAGAATTAAATATAAATTCAGACTTAAAATATTATAATCAAACCATGAACTTTACCATGTATATCAGGATATATAGATTTTTGCTCTGAGATATTCGGTGTGAGGACACAGTAGAAACTTGTTGGCATTGCGGAGGGCAGAAGCCAGAAGAGGCGTGCTGAAAAGCCCCCCTAGGCATGATTTTGGCACCCTTTCATTGCTAGACTGGTTAAAAAAATAAATAAAAAAAAAAACACACACACACACACACACTACATTTCCTACACAGACAAAGATGCTTTTTGCCTATTGTTTAGAATCAGTTGGTCTTTTTGGCGCATAGCAACACCCCTTCTTATTGGGGACTAGATAAAATATGCAAATGAGAACTAAGTGGTTATGGTGTCAGATTGCCTTGGCACTACCCCATTGGAAGAAGTTGAACAGTTTTTGAATAGCGTAACCTTTTACCTGGGTCCACAGAGTGCAGTCCCAGCTTTCTCTACTTCCAGCCGAATACCGGGAGTGCATAGCGTAGCTAACTGTTTGAGAGCAATTAGCTCAGGAGAATTAACAGAAGTTCTGGCTTAGGAACTTCCACATCTACGCCACACATAGCGGAAGTAGACCCAAACTAAGAAGGCAAAGTTTAAAAAGGTTTTGACTCCTTACAAGGGCACATAAATTATGCCAGGGTACTTCTGCCACCACAACAACTACAGCAATTTTAGAGTGTGTTTTTTTTTTTTTTTTTTACTTTATACCATGTAACTTTCTTCGAAAATTCGCCCACCTCGTTTTCACATAAAATGAACACACAGGGAATGGAGTTAGGCTCGAGTCATCCTCAGACATTTCCTGCACAGAATAAGCCAACCTTTTTCTAACTTGCATAGTCTTACATGTTCGAATGGCTTTAGGTAATGAATGTTTTTCAGTCGTGTGAAATACACAGTCAGGATATGGTCATTGCCTACTGTGTGCCATTGAGAGAGAGGGGAAAAAAGAAGAAGAAAAAAAAAAAAGCGAGCAAACTAGGTTTTAGAATAAATTACAAACTCAAAAAAGGATTACATTTTCACAAGAACACTCATACAGTAATATGACTGGCTTTATTCAAAATAGCATGAATCACTGAATATCTGTTATCAGAATACATACAATGTTAAGGCTGTACTATATGTATAGATGCAATGTGGTTTTCATAAGTGTTTGAATACTTTAGAGACCCACGCAAACACATACACAAACCTCATTTGCAGTGTAGATGGGTTCTGTGTCTAAAGTCTCATCTTAATCTGCTAAACCTGTCAAAGAGTGCTGTGCAAGCCTAGTACTACTGACTGGTCACATTTTGCATAGGAGTCACAAAATTGGAATGCCTGCTTTGCTAGATGAACTCTACAATAAAATTCTAGAAGTAAATCTGACATACGTTTCACTAAACGAAAAGTAAATAAGGAAAATCCACCATATCTGCCCCACTGAATCACATGCAAACAATGCTGTAGTAACCAAACATACTTCTAGCTTTCAAACAGACATAAAGCAGGGCTTCAAATAAATGAAATAGTGATGTAAAATAAGTGTTAACTTTCTCTAGCTTCAGAGCTCATTTGTTTAAAATGCCAATAGGACTTTGTTCATATTAGCACCTTATCCCATAAAATATAATGAAAGAGCAAAACCTCTGACATGATTACACCAAATAGAATGTAATTTACAAAAGGAGTACACAGTTGATTAGTCTTTGGAAGATAAATGCTGGTTATAGGGAAGGAGTGCAATGTTTTGGCTGGTTTCAGTGTCAGGCAGAGCAAAGCCATGCAAGTCATTAGAGTGTACATGAATAACCTTTGTCACATTGGCCATTTATCACACAGAGAGGCTTGTTTTTGGCTGAGAAGGATTTCTGTAATTTACAGCAAAATCATAGACAGTGGTCTGTGTCAAGAGACATAGTGCACTCTGGAGTTAAAGGGACACTGTAGGCACCCAGACCACTTCAGCTCATTGAAGGGTCTGGTGCAAACTCCCATCACCCTTAACCCTGCAGTGGTAATTACTGCAATTTGTATAAACTGTAATTACCTCTGAGGGTAAATTGCCCCACAGAGGCATTAAAGGAACACTACAGGGTCAGGAACGCAATTCTGTATTCCTGACCCTATAGTGTTAATACCAAAAAAATATACACACACACATTTAAAAAAAATAAACACACTTTAGTTAACACAAACGTGCGAGACTGATAACAGGCCTGCTGAGGGAATGTGGAGGCGGACGGCCAGTTCTAAGCAATGAAGGCAGGCAGTGCGTGAGCTGTAATATTCTTGTATGCCCTGCAGTGAAGCCTGGAGCCAAAATATGAGGTCACTCCAGCTCTAGCATCACTAAACAGCAAGCAATGGAGCAGAGCTTGAAGATGACCAGAGGCCCAACTGGACTCAAGGAACAGGATCCTTAGTGGACCCCAGGGAAAGCGTGCCCCAAAAGTGGGGAGGCTGGGTGGACTTAAATTTAATTGAAGCATAATTCTGGTGTGTGCATGTGTCAGTGGGTGTGCGCATGTGTCAGTTAGTGGAGAATGGACTGTTGGGTCCAGAAAATAAATATATGACCAGTCCCCCATCCAATCACAAGAATTTTTTACTCACCCTCCCCTCAAATCAGCAGTTCCTCAGAGATGCATTTAATCAATACATCTGTACGGTGAACATTCAGCACCTCAACGCACAAAACAGAGACACTGAATGTAGGTGCAGCGCTGAGATAGGAAGCACTTTAGCGGTCGTCTGGGTGACTGCAAATAGAGGTGTTACTAGGCAGCAATGTAAACACTGCCTTTTCTTTGAAAAGCCAGTGTTTACATTGAAACCTGCAGGGACAGGCTCTAGTCACCAGAACCACTACATTAAGCTAAAGTGGTTCTGGTGACTATAGGGTCCTTTAAGAATTGTATTTTTGTTGAAAAGGCTTTGTTCATTATAATAAAGAAAGAAAAAAAACAAAACAAAAAAAAACACACACACACACACACACACACACACACACACACAAACCAATGGCTTCTAATTTTAGCTGGTTCTAAGATACAAAACAAATGTCAGTGACCTATTGCCACCTCTCCCCCATTCCAGTAAAAATCCTTTTACCTTGCTTTTCTCGGCCCTGCTGCCTGTCATGTCATACTGGACACATCACCTCCACTGTTCTGGTCCAACCCAATGCTCCTTACACAAAACATTGGAGACTATACAGCAAATCAATCCAATTAAATGTTTCTCATAGGAAAGCATTGATTTGAATGCTTTTCTTTGAGCAGTATCTGAAGACGCTTCACGTCCTCTTGGACGTCGAACATCACATGACAGAGTATCACTTGGCTGTTACAGTGGAAGTGCCTCTAGAGGCTGTCAGTCAGTGTGACTACTTCATTGAGATAGAGTGGACTGGATGCACTTGGTGGTTCTTTAAACCCCTTAAGGACACATGACAGGTCATGATTCCCTTTTATTCCAGAAGTTTGGTCCTTAAGGGGTTAATCTGTAGAAGTTGTGGTTCTTAGAATGTCCCTTTAACAGTTATTTCCAAAACTTTGTCAGTATCCCCAATGGTCAGGGGAGTGCCTAAACCTGGAGTATTAGTATGGGTTAATGATTACTGATCTATCAAACTAGACTTTTCCAATGCCTATCTCTTTCACCAAGAAGTGTTGCTGCCAACAAGCATGAAATTGGACACAGTGTCTGTTTATTCTCTTTTAACTCCCCATATCTGAAACTTAAAATTGTGACATTGATACCTGGAATCAGTCTAATCACACTGCCTGCAATTAGATCATTTAAATCCTAGTTCAGGCAATGTAGTAAAATAGGAGGTTGTGTTAATAATTCATTAATATCTTGTTTTACTGATCTGTGCAAATGAAATATATTTTTTTTTTTAAAGCAGCAAAATAGTTTGTTCACCCAGGCACATCCTAGAGCAAAATTTGCAGCACTGGTTATAACACAACAGACCTGGCTGTTTCAGAGATGTAGATTTTTTTTTTTCCCCCACTATAGCACATTTTTCACTCAAACTTACCATTCTAAAGCATTTCTCTTACCGAACATTCTTAGCCGATCACTGGCACAAATGGGGATAAAAAAAAAAATATATATAATAATAGTATATATAATTTGTGCCAGGACCAGGAGGAGAGACAGAGGGTTCAAACTGACAGGGACTATGGAGACAGCTTTGAGGTTAAAGTGTTTGAATAGGATTTAGTTAATGTCACTACTTGGTTCCAACTGCTATGCAATAAAGTAGTGGAATAAGCTTTTTCTACAAAGTTCTGTGATTGCCGTTCTAGTTCAAGGTTGATAGATCACACAAACAGATGATTCCCTCCCAAATGTGTATGATCCTATACTTTTACAGTTGTATATACATATTTCAAGTCAATGAAAGGTGTCTAGCAATTTCACCTCAAGGATTTTTGAGTGGTAATTAACAAAATTGAATATGTGCAAAAAAAATAGAAAGGAATAAAAAATGAAAAATTGGTATTACCGGTATTTCAGCTGATCTGAAGAAATCTGGAGCTCTGCTTAAACAAGTCAGACTGCCTAAAGCATAAACCATAAATAGAGATTCAGAATATCCCATGTTTAAGCAGAAGTTTCAGCTTTCTACTTATTAAGTTAGTTTTTTGGAATGTGCTTCACAGACACACAGTACCAACAAGTAATGGGGATGATGTTATCTGGTAATTTAATGGACACCGCATTGTTCCACTATAAATCACTACTGTATGGAAGTACTGACCTAGTTAAAAGGAGGGGGCGGGAACCAAACTTGTTGGGAAGTCAAAAAGGATATTTTGACCTAAATTCACTTTGCTGTCCCATCACTTCACACACCTTATTACTATTGCCATGAAAAAGGTTACTTATTAGACCAGGAATTGTAAAGACTTTACTAGTGACTTCTCACTAGTGAAATTTGAGGCGGAAAAAGTGATATTATCCTATTATCCTAAGCAGGAGCTTCCATTATCTCTCATGAGCTAAGCCCTGAAGTGCACGGCTAGCTCATTGGCTGAGACTGTCAGCTATTGAACGAAACCCAATTGTGCAGGGCTGGGCTTATTGGCTGAAAGCAGAGTTTACAGCAGTCTGTCCAAGTTTACTGTAGTAGTTATGGTGCTTTAATAGTTCCTTCCATTTATATTTATTTTTATTCTCTTTCGACGCTCTGATTTTTAAAAAAGATTTAATGACTGGCATTGTCCAGCTCCCACAAGCCGAAACCAAGGCAAAGACTGCAAATGAATAGGGAAATAGAAACGTTGTTTCAGATTTTCTGGTCACTGTATGTGCATGTAAAAATTAATGACAGAGTAAAGATGGAGGTGCCCAAATGCAGGAAGAGTCATTTATTTCCACATTTAACTTTCACATAATATGAAAAAAAAATTCCTAAAATCGACAGTTCCTCTTAAACAAGTTACTACTAAGGTACATGCAGCAATTCTGTATGAAACACTGCACAGATATTTAATGCTGGTGCCTCAATGATTGACGTCCCTCATAACCAGTCTGAAACGAGGATTCTGTGCACAGAGGTTCATTCATTGGCTGAAAGCACTCTCAGTGAATGGCAGGAACGGTCGGCCAGAATTCCAGGAGGCTCAGCACTTGATCCAGTGCTATCCACTACAGCAGTTAGCAGTTACTTTATAAAACAAGCTATACATGCATGCATAGATTTGTGGCTGGGGAACGTTCCTTTATCTCATTGTGACTATGCTTTGAATTGTGGAGGGAACTCGAACACAAAATGTAAAAATCAGAGCAGATGTTCAATGTAACACTAGACTAGTAAACTAACCCACAAGCAGGAAGCCCCAGTCATAAGACTAAAGTACTAATGAAAACAGAAAAAAAATTGAAACCCACAAACACAAGTACGTGACTAGTTATAAATGCCAAAAAAAAAAGGGGAAAACAGAAAAAAATAAACACAAAACAAATTGGTCAGGGCTGGGTTTGGCTTGTGATCTGCCTCCTTGACAGTTTCAGCCAATCCAATGCTTTCCTATGGGAAAGCATTGTGGTTGGCGAAGAGAATTATTTCTGATTATGTCAGCCAAGAAGGTAGATAAAAGGTCAGAGCCAGCAGCCGCAAACTGGAGTAAATGTAAGATTTTGCTATATTTAGGGGGGCAATAGATGGTGGTATTAACACTATAGGGTCAGGAATACAGGTTTGCGTTCCTTTAATGCCTCTGTGGGGCAATTTCAGTTGAAGTGAACCAGTGAACCAGTCACAACAGACCGGCTCAGTTTCAGCAATAATATATTTTGACCATATTGTGGTTGTTTTGTTGTGAAAAATGTTTTAAATGCAAAATTTTTATCAAATTAGAATGTTCCTTTAAGGGTTTTCTTTAAAACTATAACTTATCATTAGAGGTGGAAGGTAAAAATGAATAAAAAAAAAAAAATAGAAATAAAAATTATATACACATACATACTTGTTGATTTTCTATATCTCAAAACAGTTTCATAAAACTAATAGTCACTGCTAAAATATTTTAACGTAAGCAAATAATCCATACATATTTATAAGGGAAAGAAGGTGTCACACTAAAAACCAATTAAAGAAAGACACACAAGATAAGCAGATAGCCCAGGGCTTTACAGTCTATAGGTTTATCTCCTGTATGAGAATAAGCAGTCCAACAGATATGTGGCTTAGTGCAGTGGTGTATTCTGGATTTGTGCTGCCCTAGGCATGACTAATTTCAGCACCCCCTTATCTAAATTTGCCCCACCAATTCGTGTCAAGGCCTTTTTTTGACTGCCAGACACACACACACACACAATGACAGTCACAAACACACTCACACATATATTTTCTCATACACTCACCAATTAGTATATATTTTTTTTTAATCTAAAAGGACATCTCCCTCATCGCCCAGCTAGAATATTAGTACTTTAACACATAGGGGGCCCTAAAGTGGTAGCCAGCTCTTAGGCCCCCACAGTACACAAGACAAACAAGGCATTTACCCGGGCACTTGGGGCGGCTTTTTTGCCACCCTAGGCGAATGCCTTGTGGTAAATACACCCCTGGCTTAGTGTGGGAAAAGGTAGCAGAGAGTAAAAGACAAGAACCGTGAGGGGGTGGGAATAATAGAGATGAATGTGAAAAAAAGTGGGCCAATACACTGCATATATTACCTTGAAACCATGAGATTGCAGAAAGGTTAAAGGGTATTGCCACAGTGCAGAACAAAGATTGTGGCTACTGGATTAAATAGCCAATCTGGTCAAACTTCATATTTTTGCACACAAGGTATACAAATAATCTTTGGATTAGCATTGATGACAATATTGTTAAAGTCAAAGGAAATTTACTTTAGATCAAGCAATATATGTTGTGTGTCATTTCATAGGTTTTGGAGTTTATTGAAATTACAACGTGGTATCTGGGGGATGCATTGTTCAAGCTATTAACCCAGTGTTTGGGTCATGTGTATAAAAGTGTGCCTTGTTCTCAATAAACCAGTATACCCTTTACCAAATTAAAAAGAAAATCAGATTAATTTTCCTATCACCCCAACCAACCAATAAACTGGAGGTAGGGTCAGGAAAAAAAGGTCAGGACGGTGGTACCAGCTCCACCTAAATATGGGCTTGTACCCGGGAATTGAAGATGAAAAACAGAAATGACTAAATAGAGAGGGCACCCTCAAGTAACTGATATAAATAATAAATACACCATGAATACAATATCTCTTGGAGAATTCTTGGAAGGAAGGGGGGGAGAGAAGGAAGGAAGGGGGGAGAGAAGGAAGGAAGGGGGAGAGAAGGAAGGAAGGGGGGGAGGAAGGAAGGAAGGGGGAGAGAAGGAAGGAAGGGGGAGAGAAGGAAGGAAAGGGAGAGAAGGAAGGAAGGGAGAAGGAAGGAAGGGGGAGAAGGAAGGAAGAGGAAGGAAGAAGGAGAAGGGAAGGGGGAGGGAAAGAAGGAAGGGGGGAAGAGGGGGAGGAAGGAAGGGGGAAGGAAGGAAGGGGGAGAAGGAAGGAAGGGGGAGAAGGAAGGAAGGGGGGGAGAAGGAAGGAAGGGGAGAAGAAGGAAGGAAGGGGAAGGAAGGAAGGGGGTGGAGAAGGAAGGAAGGGGGTGGAGAAGAAGGAAGGAAGAGAAGGAAGGGAAGGGGGAGAAGGAAGGAAGGGAGAAGGAAGGAAGGGGGGAGAAAGGAAGGAAGGGGGAGAAGGAAGGAAGGGAGAAAAGGAAGGAAGGGGGGGAGAAGGAAGGAAGGGGGAGAAGGATCTATAATTTTACCCATTCAAAAAAAAAAAAAAAATCAATACATGATCTCCCTGAAGTAAACCCATGTCTCTGAGCTTGAAATCCATGTGTTTTTAGATGTTCAACAATCTGACCCTTTAATATGGTTTCCATTACTTTCCTCACTACTAAAGTAAGGCTTACTGGCCTATAGTTGCCAGACTCCTCCCTATTATCTTTCTTGTGACTGGGCACAATATTCGTTAACTTCCAATCTCATGGGACTACTCCTGTTAATAATGATTGGTTAAAAAAAAATATCTGTTAATGGTTTTGCTTGTACACAACTAAGCTCTTTTAATAGCTTTGGGTGTATTCTATCAGGTCCCATTGACTTATTTGTCTTTACTTTTGACAGTTGAAATAGAACCTCTTCCTATGTAAACCCACGTGTAATAAATGACTAATTTGTCCTTTTTACTAACTGAGGCCCCTTACCTTCATTTTCATCTGTAAATACAGAACAAAAATATTAATTGAGGCAGTCAGCTAGACCATTGTCCTCTTCTAAATACCTTCCTTCATTTTTAATCTAACTAATCATAGTTTTACTTTCCTTTTCTCATTTATGCATCTAAAAACCATTTCTTTTTTTTTTTTCTTTTTTTAAACGGACTGCCATTTTCTCTTCTGTGTGTGATTTGGAAGCTCTTATAACTTGCTTAGGCTCTTTCTGCCTAATCTTATAGATCTGTCAGTCTTCCTCATTCTGTAAAAAAACAAAAAAAAACAAACAAACAAAAAAAACAAAAACAATTACTAAATGCTGGCTGTTTATTATTTTGGCCACGTCTCATTATCCAATATCTCTGTAACAGCAACTAAATCTGCATTCTCAGTTGCCATTATAGCCACAAGTTAATGAATCTTATTCCCTAAACTGCGAGCATTTGTAGACATGAATAAGCTTAATTTTTTTAACACACTTGCTACAGGCACCTTCTGACCTTGTTTTGGGGGGGCAGTTGGATTGGGGTTTATCCCCCTTTTGCCCCCCCCCCCCAGTTTAAATACATCCTAGCAAAACCTCTTTACTGCTCACTGAGAACATCTGTTCTGTTTTGAGAAAGATGCAAACCAACAGTTTATTTCCATTCCAAACAGAGCTACCATGAGAAATGAAGCCAAATCCTTGCTCCCGACACCATTCACCAAGCCACAAGTTAAAATCCCTAATACGCATCCTCCTGTCGTTCTAAGTGTTATGCACAGGCAGACCTTCAGAGAATGAGTGTGGAAGCCACCTGCCGTATGTCATTGGCAAAAACACTAAACTTTTTTTACCTCTGAAACCTCATTGCAAGCCAAGTCATTTGTCCCTACATGGACAAGAACATCCAATTCTCCTTCCTGCTTTGCTCGCTTAACAATATTACAAATATATGTCCTGTCTCTGTGAGCAGTAGCTCCAGGAAGACATCTCACAAGACCACTATTGTCCAGCTCCACACCTCTTCTGATCGAATCCCCTAACAACAACAACTGCTTTCTATTAGGCCTCACCATGGTCTCCAAGCCTGTCTCCACAACACCACTACACTCAGTGCATGAGCAGGTCTCCACAACAATCTGAAAGTGCTTAAACTGAATTATGTAGAGCAGTGATGGCAAACCTTTCTGAGCCAGAGTGCCGAAAACGCAATACATGCCAACTTTTTTTCCCTCGAAGTGCCAACACAGCAATTAAACCTGAATACTGAAGTTTACGTTTAGAAAAAACAACTTGTACAGTCATACAAACTAAACCTTCTCCTCTCCCAGCAGCATATCCCCCCAACCTCCCCCAGCATATCCCCCTCTTCCCGCCCCAGCACATAATGTGTTTTTTTGTGCGGGTGGGGATTTGAAGTCCACCCATGCTCCCTACCTGGTGGATCCGATTCCTTCCCACTGCTTTGAGGGGGTGTGGGCGCGAGGGAGCACTGACTTACCTGCTGTTCCAGCACTAATCCCTCCGCTGAAGACAGGAAAATGGAAATATCAATCAGGCAGCAGCGCCTGATTGACGTCATTTCTGGTCTCCCGGCTGAATCAGCGGAGGGATTAGTGCTGTTACAGCACGTAAGTCAGTGCTCCCTCGCGGCCCTCCATCCCACCCACCCATCACTGCCTACACACAACTCACAGGAATAAAATTTTTAATTATAGATAAAATTAGGCTTATATTTATTAGTCTCCAACAAATGCAATACATACATAAAATACATATACACAGTCCGCTGAATACATGCACACAAACGTACACACAGTCAGAATACGGAGTACACATACTGCATTGAGGGGTGCAGTGTGTGTGTGTGCGCTGTGTGAGGTGGTGAGAAGAGCGCGCTGTGTGTGTGTGGGGGGGCGGAGCGCTGCTGCAAATATTAATACAATCTGTATCCCCCCACCTCACTTCTTACCTTTGGTGAAGGAGGGGGAATACAGCCATCCCTGGTGGTGGCAGGAGGGACAGGTCCTGCAGCACTCCTGTCCTCCCTCGCACAGAATGCTGTGTGGAGTGTTGCCATGGTAACACGTGGCAACACTCCACACAGATTGCTCGCGGGAGGACAGGAGAGCTGCTGCTAAGATTGCTCCCCCTGTCCTCCCGACACGAAAGCAGAGTAGGCGCCTGCCGTTTAGGGCAGGCATGTGCCTACTCTGCATTGATGCAGACCGGTTACCTATGGCCGCATGCCCACAGAGAGGTCCCGGCGTTCCACAGGTTCGCCACCACTTATGTAGACCAACAGACTGAGCAATATGCCTTTTATCCACAACTCCAAGTCTACCAGATCCTACAGTAATCCATCTGCCATTCCTATTAAGTCCCTGCGGCAGTGGCTTTGCAGCAGTTCCAGCCAGAGTGTTTACCAGATAATTTACAAATCTCAGACTTCTCTATATATTGCTGCAGGAAATTATATTTTTGAACGGTCTACAGATTAGACAGCATCCAAATCTCCAAAAAGTGGAACGTGAAACAAATGCACAACAACTATTACACTGAACCAAGTCTGCCATTTTTATTAGGTGGATGATTTAAATCAAACCTTAATTTTTTTGTCCTTCTGTATACCTCAGATTAACTCCAGAATATCTCCAATAACACAGAGTGTGTGTGTGTGTGTGTGTGTGTGTGTAATATATATACACACACACACACACACACACACATACATACATACATACATACACACACACACACACGAGCAGGTCCAGATTAAGAGCCCAGTGGGCCTGGTGCTGACAATTATGATGGGCCTAATTACAGAATCTTATTGACCAAAAACACTAAAACAATCATACCTCCCAAGCATCATGTATTTGATGGTGATGGTGATGGTGTTGGAGGGAAACTCAAAGGATGCAGCTATAAGAAAACACATACTCTATGTTAATCTCTCTATAATTTATGCTTTCATCTTTCAAGTAAATCCATACCCCCTAACAGCACTGTCCAGTGAAGCAGGAAGTCAATGTGCAGGGTAAAAGAGTGTGCCACTGGCGCGAATCACGTGACCAGACCTGCCAAAAGGGGTGAACATTCCCAAAAAGGGGGCATGTTTGTCCAAAGAATTGGAAGGCCAGCCTGGCATGAATGCATGTCAGGCTGCCTGCCAATTATGCAAGCTGTCCAACTAAGGGCATACTATGAAGGCAGCACCCTGAACTTGACACAAATGCATCAAATGATGTGCCTACTCCATGCTTTCTAAGGATGGTCCCCTAGCACTCACATGTCCACTTGTCTCCTTATCTTACTAGCAGGCAGAAGTTCCTCGTATATAGTCTGGGACAGAGAAAAGGTGTATGTAGGGAGTGTAGAAAAAAGGGGACATGCCACAGTGTTAGAGAGACCAAAGTCTGCATTATCTAAACTAATTTTGTCAGCCAGTCCACACAGGTTTTGTTCCCATGCATCCCTCTTAAGCTTCCAAACTTAAAGGAACACTATAGTCACCAGAACAACTACATCTTATTGTATTTGTTCTAGTAAGTAGAATAATTTCCCCCAGGCTTTTTGCAGTAAACACTGTCATTTCAGAGAAAATAACTCTGATGGCCACTCCTTAGATGGCTGCTAGAGGTGCCTCCTGGGGCAGTACTGCCTAGTGTGCAGCACTGCCATTCAGTGTTCCCACCCTCTGCATGCAGACACTGAACTTTCCTCATAGAGATGCATTGAATCAATTTATCTTCATGTGTAGATGCTGATTGGACAGGGCTGTGTTTGACTTGTGCTGGTTCTGCCCCTGATCTGCCTAGTTGACAGTCTCAGCCAATCCTATGGGGAAGCATTGTAATTTGCTCAACCACCACTTCTGATGATGTCAGCAAACAGAGTCAGTTCAGAGGCAGACCGGGACAGAGCCAGCAGCTGCAGACTTGAATACAAGTAAGAGTTTACTATATTTAGGGAGGCAAGGGGGGCTTAATGGTGGTTTGAACATAAGGTCAGAAATACAGGATTGTATTCCTGACCCTATAGTGTTCCTTTAAGCAAGAGTAGTAAGGGTTGCCACATTTCTTGGAAAAAAATACCAGCCTTAATCATTTGTACAATTAATTAGTTATGCATGACATCACATGATGTAAATCACAAGGAGTGACATAAGATAAAATTCTGTAAAATCACCAACAAACTACTCACAGTTGGATTCTGCTATATAGATGGATTGCTCACAGTGTCTCAGTCTCGCAAGTCACCCAGTCCCCTAGTCTCTCAGTGTCTCCCTGTGTCCCCATGACACAGAGAGACAAGGGGACACAGTCACTAGGGACACTGTGTCCCTAGTGTCTATGTCCCAATGTCCCTATGTCTCCAAGTGTCCACATTTCTCCCAGTATCCCCTAGTGTCTGTGTCCCCATGAGTCCCCTAGTCTCCCTGCTGCCCTTTCCCCCATCCCTCACTTACCTGAGCTGTAGAGCTGCTGTCTGGACTCTGTGCTGTGTAGCTGCTCCCCCACGGATCAGTGAGTAGTAGAGAGGCAGGGAGGGATATGCTGTTTCTTCCTATCCCTGCCTGTCTCCACACACAGTGACCCCTACTGGCCGGTGCTGGTATTGAAGAGTAATTTCCGTTTATACTGAGAAAAATACCTGCATCTGTATTGCCGGTATTACTGCAATACTGGCACTGGCCAGGCAGTCTCAAATACCAGCAGTGCCCTTAAAATACCAGTTAAGTGGTAAACCTAAGAGAAGTGTTGCTTTCGGGCTGTGGAGCCGGCGGCACTCACCGTGTGACGTAGAGAAAATGCGCCGCGTCTCACCGGAAGTGACGTCACGTAACAGGAAGTCGGAAGGAAAGGATGCCGGCGAGTATCACCCTGTTCTTCCAGACCAACGAAGGTAAGGGAAGGGGGGAGTCCATTAAGTAGCTCTATAGCCCCTCCCACAACTTCAGGCCATGCCTTCCAATATATCAATATCAAAAATTACTGGCACTCATGGGTTTACTTGATCCAATTTATTGTGGATCAATTCAAGCGAGGTCAACGTAAAGAGCATAAACATCGCATATCACAAACATATATAGGACATCTTTACCAATAAACACTCACCATATCAGCTGTCTTCCATATCCCCAAATGCCCGGCGTGCACTGATTGGATGGATTTCAAGCCACCCAACCTGTGTAATTTTACACAGCGTGGGAAAGTTCTTTGAAATTTTCCCATGCGGTGTAAAATGACAGAGCGCTCTGCTTGGCTTAAACCAGCCAATCAGAGTGTTCTTAGCTTAATTGCAGGGCAAGGCTTTACAAGCCTTCCTCCGCCCTGCAGAGCTCAGTCTGCGCGGAGCCCTCCATGGGTGAAGATGGATTGGGTTTTTTGCGCTCAGGTTTATTTTATTTTAAGTTCGACGGGTATGATGGTTTTTTTTTTTATTTGGCTTTTTTTTTTGAGGACAGTAGGTGTTCATTATCTTTATGGCCCCCACCCACCGCTCAAGGGTGGGGAGGGGGAGGACAGTAGGTCCCCCCCATTGTAATTTATGGCCCCCACCCACCGCGCAGGGGTGGGGGAAGGACAGTAGGTCCCCCCCATTGTAATTTATGGCCCCCACCCATTATCTTTATGATCCCCACCCACCGGGGCGACAATAAGTGTCCCCCCTTATTGTTATTTAGGGCCCCCACCCACTGCACAGGTTTCTTTTATTTATTTTATTTTTTTAACAGTGAGCAGCCACAGGCTGCTCACTGTTTAGTGGACATGCCCCTACTCACATTATAGTGAGTAGGGGCATTCGGGAGATTTTAATCTCCCTTATGCCATTATAGAGGTCATATTAACCCCGATACAGTGAGGGAGGACATGGGGGGGGGAAATTAAGGAATTGGCAGGGACTGCTCCCTGCCGCTTCTATCTTTACATATTACAAGGAGGGAGCTGCGCGCCGGTAGCTCCCTCCTTGTAATAAACTGCACGAACAAACGAACACTGATATCCAGTGTTTGTTCGTCTGACAATGCTATTCATTAGTCTTTCTGACGAATGAATAGATAAAATTCTTGTTCGCATGCCAAAGTGTTTAACTGGGCATGTGCGGGAATTTCATAGCATTATCTAATGTGGGAAGATGACCTGTCCCACAGGGACTTCCTCTACCCACACAAAGAGGGTGGCGCCCTGAATATAGATCGGGGCAGAAAATAAAGTTAAAAAAAAAAAAAAATAGGTAATATGGCTTAGGGGTGTCTTGGGGGTCAGTTAGATGTACTGGAGTCGGGAGGGAGGTTAAAAAGGCAAAAACAAATGGGATTCGGCCATGACAGTGCCGCTTTAAGATGATAGTATAGGCCCAATTCAGAAGGAATATATTTAGCATCAGTAAACCAAACTGTATTTAAATAAGGGCATAGGTTGTCCAAGGCAGCTTCTAAAAGCCCTGTATTTTACCAGAAGACCATTTTAATGTTACTTTAATGGTCTAATAAACGATATTTTATAGTCAAGGACAGTAATTTAGTGTAGGAAGAGTATTTAAGGTTATAGTTAGTTTTTAAGGTTAATAGGATCAAATGTGATATCTATCGTTATTGCTGGCAAATACACAAAACCCTAAATTTAACCTAAAATATTATGTTTATTTTTTAGATCATCATCATTAGATGTCAGTTACATTTTGAGTTAAAGGGACACTAAGCAACAAAACAACTTTATCTTAAGTGGTTTTGGTGTATAGAGTGCGTCCCTGCAGTCTAACTGATCAATTATCAGACATTTATGACTTTACAAATAAAAAAATTAAAAAAAAAGTAAACACATGGCATAAACAAAATGATGTTACATTTTTGCAATACTGCATCAAGGCCAAGGATACTATCAACGATACGTTAATAAAGTTTGCATTAACAAACACTAAGAATACTACAAGTTATAAAGAGCTACATATCCGAAGTATTTTCAAAACAGGACTACAAAAAAAAGTAAACGCCACGTGTCTAGTTATACGCTATGGCCACATCTCTAATTTATAACATGAACACAATAATTTGTGGCTTTAAACAGACATGAAGGCCACGAAGTTCACACAAATTAAGAGCACACTAAATGTATATCCAGCTTCTACATTGTATGCATGAGTCATAATACCTACTGGTTTGCATCGTAAATTAAACCTTTTTGTATTCGTGTCCTGTATCAGTTCACCAGGTACAGGAACAATCTGTTCTGTACATTTTGGTTATACAGTTAATTGTGCTTTATCTAACCCGAACCATAAAAAGCAAGATTGTCTTTTGCTAAATTTAGGTCTACTAGGACGTTCATTGCTTCCTATCTAACTTTTATACCAAACATTGTAAGTCTATAAAAAAATAAAATTAAAAAAATAAGAGATTTTAGTTTTATTTATTTAGGGAAGAACTTGCCTTTTGCGAATGAAATGCTCTCAACTGTGTAAAATGCAGATAACACTATCAGTTTGAAGGACTCTAATGACACAATATAGGCATAACCTTGGAACACGGTTCAACTGCTCGATAGATTTGTAATGGAACTATACAGTGTTTATTTTAATAGATATTAAATGTGCAGCTTGCTTTAAATTATAAAACAGCTTGTTTTGCAATTCAAAGTTCTTCAAGAAGATTATAAAAATATATTTTTTTTTTAAATAAATACACACAAGCAGAAAAATAAATAAATGCCAGAGAAGAAAGACAGAACCTAGATGGACATTTCCTCTAGTGGCAGGCGAAGCCACTGGCACCCAGGAACTCTCATTTAGTGTGAAACAGATTGAAAAGGGTTTAACGTTGAACAATGGAAAGGCGGTCGGTGATAACAGGCACCAACACTAGTCCAATGAGATGAAGTATGCAAGTTGCCTACTGGTTCCATTTAGGTCCAGAAATGCATGAGTAGCAGATTGGATCATTTCTATTGCAAAATTTCTTTCTGGGAACAAATTGGTTCACAAAAAGACAAGTTCAGAAGATGGCGTAACATTTTGTAGTTTAGTTAGAAACTATTTTCTTTTGATATTTTCGGCAAATGTAATTTCAAATCTGTCCAACCAGATTCTTTTGCCTCAGGCAACCATTTAGTGTCTTAACCTGGGATGGGAAGGCCAGAAAGGGTCTATGCAGAGATGGCTCAGTTTTTTTCAAACCATGTAATCTTTGAAACTAAATATCTCTCCAGTGGGCAAGGTTGTTTTTCTGCCGTGATTGGTACATCCATTTTTGGCATAGGTTACCTAAAATGATCTCTGTTCAGGTCCTGCCCCTCTTTGCATTCACCTTCTTCTCCAGAATAGAGACAACCTATTGCCTAAAGACACAAGTATAAACAAAAAACAAACAAACAAAAAACAAATATTGTCTGAAATCATGTAAATCAGATTCAGCAATATTTTTCCATTTTTTCTCATGTGGCTCTAGCACATGTGAAAGATCTTGAGCCGATGAAAACCACATCCATGCAATTTTTTTTTTTTTTTTTAAAACAGATGAGAATCAAGTCATGAATGTCATCTTTGCGGTTTTAGCAATAATAGCTTACCTACGGCATAAGCTTTTTGATTTTATTTGGTTTCTTTTCTTACAACCAGAATGCTCAAGTTAGAATATAAACGTTTAAAGTTTGCCATGGATTTAGCGGTTTTGCTTATATGGATACCCTTGCTTATCAGATCAAAAAGAAAAATCTTTAAAAAATAAATAAAACAAAACAAAAAATAAAAATACCAAAACCTAAGCACCAAGTAATTAACCCCTTAAGACCGCAGCCAAATGTACAAGTTGTGATCCAAATTTTTATTTTATTTTTTAAAATCACAGAATTTTACTATATGTCTGTTCAACAATAATTTACCTCTTTCATATTAAATGCACCCACACTTATTAGATATTTTATTCAGTGGAAACAGGGCTTTCATTTAACATAAAATATTTAGGTATGGAACCTAATTTAATATGAATAAAATATAAAAGAAATGAGAGAAAAGAAGATTTAAAATTTTCTTAGTTCTACATGACATTTTAACTGTGAATGCCATAATACTGTTTGCTTTTACTGCAATAAAATACACATATATGGGGGGACGGAGCCAGCGCCTAAATGAGCAAGTCGCAACTCACCACAGCTCCGAGCGGGAGACCTGATAAAGGGATATCCTAGCCACAAAATTAATTTGGGACCTGACAAACAGAACCCCAGAACACCCTATACTATGGGGAAAAAACAAACAAAAAAAAAAAAACCAAAGAAGAGCATAGTAGATCCTGGCTCGGGGTCAAAAGATATCGGCACTTTTATGCGCCTGACAACGGCAAGAGCACAGCAAGATGGCGCCGACAGACGCCTACGACTCACAATCATGAGACTATGACAGTATGCCAGACTACTTCCATGCTCCTAGCAAGGTACATGCTACACCCCAGCAGCCTAAAGACCTAGGCGACGCAGCACCTGCCACAAAAGCCAACAAAGGCACTGATGCTGAATATCAAGGTGATGTTTGACACCGACATGGCGCTCGTCAGAGGGGAAATCTCCACGCTTTTAAGCCGTGTGGTCTCCGTTGAGGAGTCCCTCGGGGGCGCAAGGGCAGCGCAGACTACGGACGCAGCCCTGGGACTTTTACAAAAGCAATGTGCAATACTGACTGCCCAACTAGCGGGAACTGAGGCCAAAGCTAAAGCCCGAAACCTACGGATCAGGGGAGTTCCTGAATCGGTGGTTAACCTGGAACTACCGCACTATTGCAGGCGGCTCATAGCAACTTTATTGATGCCCAAGCAAGCAAAGCAAGTAGGGATTGACACCTGCTTTCGCCTCCCTAAAGCACTCAAGGCTCCCCAGGAGGCACCAAGAGACGTGCTGATTAAATTTGTCCGGGACTCAGACCAGGGGGCTCTCATGGGAGCCGCGAGAGGCTCTCCTACGGTCACATCTGAGGGAACAAGTCTGACTCTTTACAGAGACTTCTCAAGGCACACTCTTACCTGGCGCAGATCCCTCCGCCACATCACCTTGCTACTGCAGGAGAAGTCTATCCCCTATAAATGGGGCCCTCATCGCTTAACAGATCATGCTGGCAAGACGGTCCACCTGACACACATATCCAAGTCGCCCAAGTTTCTCCAGTCACTGGGACTCTTGTTACCTGCAGCAGCAACTGTTGCCAGCCCATCTTGGAACATCAACGAAATAACCACTTTTGTGCCCAGAGGAACAGCGCCGAGGACGACGGACTCGTTAACATGAGAAAAGCAACCTCACCTTTACACTGTCCTATAAGTCCCATATTAAAGGACTAGATACTGGACACTTCATATATGCTAAAAAAAAAATAAAAAAAAAATAGCTTACATCTTGAGACTTGTTATCTTTAGCTCTACTCACAAAATACTATATGGTTGTGTGTACAAAGCTTTTCATTCAGCTGCAGCTTATCCTTCCTGAGCGGAATCTTGCTATAACACGCTCATGTAATAAGAGTGTCCTTGAATGGTTGTTTCTGAAATCACGTTTCTCAACATTCCAGCTTGGGATATTTTTTTCTTTCCAGTTAAAATCACTGAATTGGGTCAGTCACCTAAACGGCCAATTCAGGAGAGGAGGACTGGTTTGGGAACCACTGCATTAGACCAATCCCATCTCAGTGGATAAAAAAATAAATTTATATTATATATATATTTTCATTCATTCCAAGCTACTTTCCCACTTTACCCTATAACAGAACTGCTTACTACAAAAGCAGGAGTTTGCAACTACTTGATCAAAAACCTACTCCCCACACAACATTTAACGAGAAACTGCCCTCACTTAAAGACTAGGAGAGAGATCTCCTGCAATGTTAGACACAATATGACACCACCACCAATTCAGCCATTTTCTACATTCTACCGTGAGGCTGAACTGTGCTCCCAGAACAGTGGCACAATTTGAACTGCTGTGTACCTCCTCAACAAATGATAAATTGCTTAAAATTGCTCAGTAGTATATTCAATAGCGATATAGTTGTCAACCAATCTGATTTCTCAGGGGTGGCTGAGTGTTTTTCAAGATTAAAAACAACAACAACAACAACAACAACTACAGGCATTCTTTTTGCCAATTGAGGGAGCAGAAAATTCACTTATAACCTCGCTTTGGAAAAAGCAGGAACCACCAGGAGTGAAACAATGGATAAATAAGGTAGAACCAACCAGAAAATTGGAGGAGATTCTCTGATCATCACTGGGGAAGAAACCAAAAATAATTAATCCAATGTTCTCGTATCAGAGTAAATTTCTGACTTCCCTGTAAACCCATCGTTACATGTAATAGCCATATATAAACTCTCAAGTGCTATTCGGTGACCAAAGTAAACTAATGAAATGTGACCACTACAAAAGTTATGTATTTTATAGTGGTTTATTTTAGGTTTTGCTTGAAGAACTATCAGTTCAATGTATTTCATTAAACATCACTAATGTGTTATATTTCACAATGTGTTTTGAAGGTATGCACTCAGGGCCGCCATCAGGGGGTGACAACCATGAAGGTTGTCATGGGCCCGGCGGCCCAGCTGACCGGGCCCCACGTGCAGCGGCGGAACTGCCGCAGGTGCTGTTGCACTGGGGCCCGCAGGCTGATGGGGCCCATCAGGTGACACACTCACTTATGGCCATCTGATGGGCCCTATATAGTCAGGGGCCTGGTCAGCGCTGTGGCCGCGTAATAGCGCGACCGGGCCCCTTTTATAAAAAAGCAGCAAGTGGTCACTTCCTCCCAGCTCACTCGTGGGAGGAGCGCCGCTGCAGTGAAGAGGAAACCGCACTGACATCAGCCCCAGCCACCCTCCTGCAAAAAAAAAAAAAAAAAAGAAAGAAACAGGAGTGGCGAGAAATGAGCGCGCTGTGTGTATGTATGTATGTATATATCTATCATTATGAATGCATGTCTGTCAGTATGTATGCATATATGTCTGTCTGTATGCCAGTAGCAATGTATGTCTGTATGTCATTAGGAATGTATGTCTGTCAGTATGTCTGTATATATGCCATTATGAATGTATGTACGAATGTATGTATGTCTGTCTCAGTATGTGTGCATGTCCGTGTGTCCGTGTGTCCGTGTGTGTATTCCTGTGGGTGGGATTTGGAGGCGGACCCCAGACCCTGAGCTGAGTTAGGGTTCCCAAAATTTCTGGTGGCGGCCCTGTATGCACTATTTCCAGTCAGAACTGGGAGGCTTGCTTGCATGCCAGAAACTGTATTGCAAGTTTTATTCACAGAGATCATTTACATTTCCTGCCCACTTCACCACAACCCTATTTTGGCCAACACCATAAGGCGGGACAATAGTACAGGCTCAATTTAACTTGCATCCTGTCAACTCCCTTGGTCCACACCCGTGTGTTGCATGATTGCTCTATCACAATCCAACAATGGTATTATTTCCTAGACAACTCACCATTCTACTCTATGCATTCAAGGAATTATGGACAAACACCTTCAACGACTACATTTAGTTATTGCCAATTGTGACATTACGTCAACCGTTTAAAAAGGACACTCTCCCTACAAATCCACACTCAGTTTCTTGCCTCTGATATTGCCACACACACACACACACACACACACACACACACACCTTTTCAAATATTGCCTAGGCATATTTCAACATACTCAACACTATATCCACTACAACCTACCAATACATATCACTGACACTTTTGCGTTCGGTTTAAATTCTCTCCAAGACATTTCCTCATTGGCATACAACCCACTGACAAGTGCTGGAAATTACATGCTGATCTTTCCCATGGACCTGTCCTCAGACAGACTTTCTGGACCACGGTCATTAAATGTTACCTCTTATTTACGCTCGCATTTCAGAAATCTGAATTTATAATATTTAGTGTTCACACCCCCACACATACAGAGTTCATGGCCACTCACGCCTGTTGCAAGTTATGGCATTGGTATCCAGGAACGCTCTATTCCAAATCAGGATAGAACATACCCCACCATTCCGCTCTTTGTTTAAAGCCAAATTGCTTTTTGTTTTAAAAATGGAATGGTTAGATATGCCAACAAATAAATATTTAAGGGCCGAAAAAAATGCTACAGTGTTGGAAACCTTATATTCAAACATTGAAGCACTCTTCAACAGTGCATTAAATCATTTTTAAACAGATAGCATGGCAGTATGTCACACAGTCTTGCCCCCTCCCCGATACTTATAAACCTACGTTCTATTATAGATTTGTATTTACGCAATTTTGTTATACTGGCCCAATGGCCCTCTAACTTGCAAGTATCGGTACTCTCGGATGGATTAAAGTGATTTGTCTACTAATTTCGCTTTCTAAGCACCATCATGGATTTGCGGGACACTTATGGCTCTTACTCTCAATGTGATATGTACACATATTTAAATGCAAACTATAGAATCTTTGTAACAGTTTCATCACACTGGTCATACTTTATTATACTAATAAAAAAAAATTAAAAAAAAATTGGGGGGTTGGGAGGAGCACACATTAGAAGTCTACCATGTTTGCAAAGGAATTATTTACCGTCACTGCACCTTAAGACACCAAGAGTAGAAACATGTTGTGCCAATACAGGCGGAGTGCTCATAACCTAGAAATAGATAACGGTCAGACAGAAAAAACATAGCAACCCAACAATTTGAGCAGGGAGTTAGGATGACATTTTATTACAGTTCTCAAAATACTCAACTGAGAGGCATGTTCTATTAAAGTTATCACGGTTACCAAGACTAAGCGGAGATTGATAACTTAAAAATCCATTTTAGAGAGGATTAAAAAAAAAAAAAAAAACAATGTGCAGCTGACTATTACTGCACCATAAGTCATTTTGCCACACATAGATGCTCTCATGCAAATCAAACACTGGATTTAAAAAAAAAACAAAACCAAAAAAAAACACAAACCATATATACATACATACACACACACACATAATTTTATTTTTTTAAATGAATTGTTTTCTTTAAAAATGCATTTTTTGCAATTAGGCAAACATAGACTCTCATAGATTGAGACCGTGATCATTAGACTCAGAAATTTTTGTAACAATGGTGTATCTTGTTCATTCTTTTGACCTACCCCTGTTTTTAAACAATTTTAAAGTACTTCTGAAACAAAACAAAAAAAAAATTGGATGAATGCCAATACCTGACCAAAAAGAATTAACCCACTACGAGACATGTTCCAGGTTATCCCACTATTGTACTCTCCCCATGTCGCTCATTAGAGAAGATTTTCATGGAGTTATGCAGACTGGATTTTGAATGGGAGTGAGTAAAGCAGAAAGGACAAATGTATTTGTAGCATGTCAGCTTGAAGAAACTTTGATATTCTAACTCAGTTGAGATATAACATTTGTAAAGGATCCCCCTGTATTCGCCTATGGTCATTCGGTTGTGTCCTCTCCCTGCTCTTTAACTACCTTTGGACATTTCGTTTTAATTATGTCAATTTATTCGTTCTACCGAACAGAGACCACCCTGGGTTGCAATCAGAATTTGGAACACCGAGTAATCACATGAAAAACTGCAACTTATTTGAGTGCACCTAGTGGCCGCCATTCGGCATACGAACACGAGGCGAGAACAAAGGATGGCGGTCATCTTAAATCTCCCGAATGCGGCCAGCGGGACTCTCGTGGATTGACTGGAACTATTTTTGGCATGGCAATCACACGAACGTCCGGTCATTATGGAAGTCCCGTCTGGTCTATTTCCACTCATAGTATCAAACCAGTGTTCAGGAGTTGTAATCTACCGAACGAGGGGAGCACTCTCCTCTAACCAGCCGCAACATATCTATGGTATTTTTTGTGTAATTTTGCGTGAACAGAGACCGACTCTTGCTACTGATTTCATGGAACTCTAAATCGGATACCACCACATGGCGAGACGGTCAAACTTCCACACGATGCAACACGGAAACTACCGAACGGATTTTTGTGAAATTTGTATATGTGACTCCCGGTAGCCTCAGCTACCCAGGGATGTCGTTTATATATTTCTATGTTATGCAGAATGTATTTTTCTGAAAATTGTAATGTTTCTGGCCAGCAGATAATGGAGGTTAGGGTGTTGCTGAAACTCAATTATCTAGCCTGGCCCAGAGGAGGAGTCTGTTACTGTATAAATCGAATGCCTGTTGCTTCCAGTAAATCAGTCTTGTTCCAGCATTAAGCTTTGGCGCATGTGTGATTTATTTGGCGATACCAGCGATTTATTACTCTGTGGATTACTTGGAGATTTTAAATTTATGGGAAGAAGGGAATGCTTGATGGTGATACTGATTACTACCATCACAACATTTATTGTACCATTTCATCTCAGCTAAACACTGCAAATGCATGCTTTCTATATGGAGTTATAGATACTTGTTCTGTTGCTTGTTATTTGTGTTAGACGTTCCATACTACCATATGTGTTAGCATAACCTATAATTACAAATTGCTGCAGAGTGGTTTTTGTTTAAATCTTTAGTTTTGAAGGTGGTGTTAAACATAAATTAGATTTACAATAGAAGTGCATCCTTTTTTTGCTGCATTAACAAATCTGAAATCATAAAAGGGTGGGTATGTCCATGACACAGAGAAACAAACAGATAAGACTCTGGCCTGTTCACATCTTTAAAAAGAAGCATGCATCCCTTTAACCCCTTAAGGACACATGACATGTCATGATTCCCTTTTATTCCAGAAGTTTGGTCCTTAAGGGGGTTAAAAAAAATAAATAAATAAAAAAAAAAAAATTAAAAAAAATAAAAATAAAAAAAACACACCCACACAAATTCAGCTCATTGAGGAGGTTATGGACACAGTGTAACCTCAAAGTTTTCTCCTACATTCCTGGCACTCTCAGGTGGTCACTGGTAGCCCATTCAGACAAATATGGGCTATTTTGGGGTTATGGGGGTGGGATTAGTTGCTTTAGAGTTACTCAGTAATATTTTGAGAGTACCTCTAAAGCTTTCCCTTTAAGGCACTGCGATCCTTCTTTTGGAACATTCCTCATCTTCTGGTACAACACAAAGATCTATGGACGATCCCGCAAGACAGTAGGATCCTATATAGATATAACTGGGAGGAGAAGAAGAGCTTTTCCCATGGCTGCGGACAACTAACAAGTTAAGGATAGAAGCTCCCTTCCCCTCCCCCTCTGGGCTTTGCTCGCCAGCCAAAAAAAACAATCCATATAAATCAGTACTAGTAATCTTTAGTGTATCCCTTAAAATCTCTACAAGGTATTGCATGAAGATTACCGGTAACTTTTTCAGTAATTATAACATTTTTATACTTTGAAAGCCAAAGAAAAAGCATCTCACCCCTCTCCCTGTTGTACAATTACAGTTTGTAAATAGGCAAAGCTATATTATTCTAAATCCTAAAAATTTACAATCACTCCTAAGCTCTACGAACACCATAAATATCTGTATACACTTGTAATGGTTGTACTCTGGTTTAAATATATAAAGCAAAAAGATTGGAGAGTTCTCTGCTGAATGTTGCATGACGAATTCAGATCTATAATCACACAGCCTTTCAAGTCTTCATTGAACGAACACTAGTCTACATTCAGCCCCACCAGCTACAGGTCACTCAATTCTGAGTTGTACCATGTGCTTATATAACGTTACAGTTATAGTGCATATATAACCCCTCCCCCCCCATAAAAAAAAAAAAAACAAGTTAAAGGAACAGTGTTTCAGAGGGGATCAAATAGAAAATGTGGTTCATTTATAATAAAAATATAACATTTTTTTTTAAATTGTATGAGGATAGGAGGTTTATTCACACGAAATCAGCTATTTTTGCAAC